CCCACGTCGTCATGTAAGGACTCAACATTTTTTCACCACTATGGTAAAGAGCCACCTGCATTGAAAATACTAATTTAAATCAGTAAATGAAACTTAAAAATCGTCATTTGATCTCACTTTTCTCCCTGTAACTCAAAACTCGCATTTTTACTCCATGAAACTCAAAATTCGCTCTACATTGCGTTGTTTATGTTTTTTTTTTTTAAAGACGCCTTGTTTATGTTTTTTTAAAATAAGTTCATCCATTCAAAATTTATAATTGATAATATGTCAAATTTTCCCTAAAATAAATAAATAGTAAAAAAGAACAAAAGAACCATCTTCTCTCTTGATTAGCCACCGTTATTAAGAACATAAGAAACAACGAATGAGAAAGGATGAATGTATGAACAACGATTAGAGAGAGAAAAGGGATAGAGAGGGGTCGGAGAGATGAAACACAGGAAATGTCATGGCCCGATTCCGACATACGTTCAGGATTGACGCGCGACCGTAGACTATAAGGGAATGCCAAGAATACAACTGAAATACTGAACTGAAATTTTACAATATTTACCATAGGGCCAAGACATGCCCGTAGGTTCCCAAAAAAAAGTCCAAAGAAAGTATAAGGAAAGATATAGGGGTAACCTAATCACTCCAAGCTCTCTAAACTCTGTTTGCTACCCCAAAGCTCCACGTATCAACTAAAACCTGCACAACGCCCCCTACATCGTGGGAATGGTGCACTGGGCAAACAACAACCTGGATAAGTCGCGAAGCTCGTGTGAGTGATAATAATGCAACGTATGTGATAATAATAAAAACAATACATCGATCACGATTTATAAACATCAAATATAAAATCATATTTTATGAAATCATAATCAAGCCACTGAAAATCCCGAATGAATCACACAGACATCCATCGACATATCTGAAACAAATCACAAAGGTTCACAATCAATAACTCATGCAATGTGCCAAAATGCAGGGCTAGAGCGACACAGTTCGGCTGAAGCCCACATCTCTAAAGCTTTCTCAATTTAGACCCAATCCAACGAATCAACGAAGTCAAGAATGTGATTTCCGACCACTCAACAAAATCCAACAACATCGGGTTCTGAACCACTCAACGGAACCAAAATACCAAGTGAGACTCCGGACCACTCAACGAAATTACGGAGTATAAGGGATTTCGGACCTCTCAACGGAATCCAAGTGGATACGATTCCGGACCACTCAACAGAATCGCGGAGTACAATGGATATCGGACCACTTCGCGGAATCCAAAGCAGGATACGATTTCGAACCGCTCAACAGAATCGCAGAGTACAAGGGATTCCAAATCACTCAACGGAATCCAGACGAAGTAGGGAACCGGACCACTCAACGAACCCCAGTAGGACTCAGTTCCGGATCACTCAACGGAACTGAGCAGAAGTCCAAGAAACATAACCACGACTTGAAGAAGCAAGACATGAATAAAGTTGCTCAATTTATAAAGGCTCAACGAATGAAACAAAGCACAAGTTACACAATTTAGAACGGCTCAACAATGGAAAAATGAAATAAGAAACGGGATATGAAGCAAGTTTTGAAGCAACAAATCCCCATGTCAAAGGGTTAACAGTCCACTACTAGCCCTCACATTTCACAAACAGTTCACATGCATTTCAAATCATATTTAACAAATATTTCCAATCTATAAGTCAAATCACATTTAATAAAAATAGATCGATGGCTAAATATAAAATAACAATTTAATATAAAACATAGTTCTAAATCATGCCGTATCCACAAAGAATACTAGCACGGAGTTTTCAGGGTAATAACCAGATCACATGTATTAAAGTCACTCACCTGGAGTTCGCGTTACGACTCCCAAGCACGAATATCAAGGCGTCACGAACGATCGTCGCCTAAAACAAGTATCAAATCACGTTTCAAAATTTTATAGCTAGAACACGTAATCGTAGTTTGTACACGTCATCTAGGATATTTTAGAATGATTTGAGACCGGTTGACCAAAAGTCAACCGTTGGTCAAAGGTTAACGGTAGGGTCTAGGGCTGGGTTCGGTTTAAAACGATTCGGTTTTTTGCCAAAATTGAAACCGAACCGAAATTTTGGTTCAGTTCTGTTTGGTTCTTTTTTTTTCGGTTCGATTTTTTTCGGTTTTGATTTTTTCCGGTTCGGGTTTCGGTTTTTTCGGTTTTTTTTTTTTCAAAAAATGATGTAAATAATGGAAGGAGCTTACCTATCAACCTCCCAATTCTCATATATCAGAGAATTGAGAGCCTCAAAATCCTGAATATATTCAAGCATTTCAACTACTTATGATCAAGCAAATACATAAACATATATACTTCAAGGAAATGTACAGGATTCGAAATTCTAAAACTTTAAAATTTGCAAAATCATGAAATAATTCAACAAATTACCTGATGCAGATCGAAACAAAAAAAAAAGCAAATGGGTTCGTCTAAATGCCATAATCGGACTCCAATATCACATGCCCAGTGCCCACATTCAAATTCATAGTCAAGTCCACAATAGATCTAGAAAATTCCAAAACATATTCAGAGAAAAATACAAACTTTTCCACCTTAAATTACATAAATTTCAAATGGGTAACCATAAAATTAAAAACCCATAAACTGAAAAATAAATAAAACCCACAACCTTTGCTGCAGCGATATCGCAGTGATCGTCGCAAGCTCTTACAATTCCTCTTTTCGTCGGGTCTCGAAATGGGCGAGGGAAAATCATTGTTTGGAAGAAAGAATCCGCGAGGAGGACAAGAGAAGACTAGAGAGAGTGATTTGGAGGAAGAAAGGAAGGAGAGGGAGAGAGAGAGACTGAGGAAGCAAGCAGAGAGGAAGCAGCGGCGGGGAGAGAGAGCGAGTGTTTGAGTCTCAAACTTTGAGATCTGAAAATGAAATGGGAGTGGGACACTGAGACGGCTAGGGTTTTAAGCTTAAGAAATTTTATAAAGCATTCAATATAAGAAACCTATAAATACCATACTAGTACAATTATAACAACACAAAGCCTACAGTTAAGTTGGCTTGCAGCACCTAAACCCAACCTGCAGGTCAGGGGTTCAAACCCTGACGCTAACATATTTTTTAGTATATATATATATATATATTTTTTTTTTCGATTCGGTTCGGTCCGGTTCAGTTTCCGGACCTCAAAAACCAAAACTGAACCAGCCAGATTCAGTTCGGTTTGGTTTGCCAGTTTCGGTTCGGTTTTTTCGACCTCGGTTCGGTTTTTTCGGCCTCGGTTCTGTTTGGTTTTCGGTTTTTTTCGGTTTTCGGTGATTTGAACCCACCCCTAGTAGGGTCCACAACTCTGCATAACTCGATCCAGAAGATCCGCACATTGAATTTTCAATCCGTAACTTCCTAAGGTCCAAATTATGCCTCTAGAACAACATACTAAAATTTCATCACGATCCGACGGTCGAATCTCCACCAATTGCAAATTCAAGTGGCGGTTATATTCATACTATATTCAAATAATCGAACCACATCAAATGGATATCAAATCTGAAATCAGGACATTGAATTTAACTTAAAAAGGCAATGTCGGCCCATTGACCACGCGCCACTGCAGGTGGCGGTTTCCGACAAACGAAAACCACATATTCCAACCAACTCCAAAATTCACCAAATTTTACAAACATGTAGAGCTCAATGAGGGAAACATTTTTCACACCTGGCCGAAGTCCAATTCAGTCGGGAAACACCTGAAATCACCCTCAATCCATCGGAAACCCTAGAATTGGGTGTTCTCCAATTCGTTAAATCCGCAACTCTGCCGTCCCCAAACTTGTTTGGGCTTTGTTCTTGGTCTCAAGAGAAGTCATTTGGTGTTGGTGATCGATGGAATTACCTTCAAATATGGTGGATCGCCGCCGTGCACCCTGCGATGTCGTCATTGTAATTCTTGCAAAACCAAGGCAAAAAAACTCTCAGATTTTTTATGGAAATGGGAGAAGGGAGGTTGGGGATCAGTTTACAGGTGGTAGATCAGTGCAATTCACCATAAAAACCAATGAAAGTCGTCAGAATTGGCTACCCAGAACCGGGTCGGGTCACGTAGGAAAACGGGTCAAAGGGGGATCTGATTCCTTCATTCTCTCATCCCTCATTTCCCCTCCTTGCTTTCTCTTCTGATTAGGCAATCCCCCTCTCATTTCTCTCATTTCTCTTCTCTTCTTCCCGTCACAACCACACACGTATCTTCATCACACTCATTTCTGCTCCAACAAAGAAAGGAAGGGTCAAAATGACCAAAATGCCCTTGACTTTGTTCGTTTATATCTCATTTGTTATAACTCCGTTTCACGAACGTTTTTCTCCTATGAGCTCGTATCGAGACTTACTATCCGAAAATGTAAAGAAATCTGGAAAATCATGAAAGGATAAAATACGTTTGCGAAAATTCCGTTTAGTTCATTAAGGGTGTTTCGTCCTTTTACTCATCGAAAAAAAACTATACGCCGTAAATACAAAAGCGTCGAAACTACAAATACGAATACGAAATACAAAATTCGTAATTTTAAACTGTGAAATCCAGGGACGAGATTTCACAGGAGATGCTTTTGCTATTTTTCTTACTTTTTCTTTATTAATCTGTTATACAACATTTTGAAAATTAAATTTTCTTTTGCTTTTATGTTTCTATATATGTGGCACCATTTCATTAAATATGTGAACTTATGTCACGTCAGCCATTAATAGGCTCTAATTATGTTGCATAAGTTAGCTGAACAATTATTTAACGGAATACATTAAAACAATTCAAAGTAGAGTGAATATTGAGTTTCAGGAAGTAAAGTAACGATTTTTCAGTTTCAGAAGATAAATTAGGATCGAAATCAAATCAAGTAATAAGAAGCTTAGATAGAAATAATCCTATAGTAAGTACAAAACGAGAATCGGATCAAAGGCTTACTTTCCAATTTTTTTTTTTCATTGTAATTAAAAATATCAGTAGTGACAATAATCTGGTTTGGTCAGTTACGAACCATAGTTATTGCCGGGAACCCAACTAACATTGGCTTTACCTGCGGCATCTGTAACGCACACTTGTTACAGCCGAGATTCTGTGTCCAAACCAAACCACGATTCCACACAGAAAGCAAGATGATCCCCAAATCTTCCAAACCCTAGATCTCTCCGATCCATTCGATACAGAAGAAGGTAGCTCTCTCTCTCTCTCTCTCTCTCTCAATTGTTTTATCTTTTGATTTTTCAGATGGATTTTTGTTTTCTTATTTGAACGAATTAAACAATTTTGGAGCTTTTTAGCTTATAATTACTGCTCTTATTTAATTTTTGTAGTTTGAATTAGTTGGAGATATTTTTGAGGAACCCAGTTTGATCTTACTGATTTTTTATTTTTTTTCTTTTGATTTGTAATTTTTTTTAAGTTTGTTGGTAGATCATGAAGCGGAAACAAGCGTGCAGGGGGAGGGGACGGCCGCGAAAGAACCCGAATGTGGTGAGTGAAAGAGTGGTGAGTGAGAGGGTGGTGAGTGAGAGAGTGGTCAATGAGAGAGAAAATGCTTTCTTGAATTTTGTAAGTCACAATGTTGAAGAAGGAAATAATATTCTTGAGCATTATAAAACTGATGATGAGGACCGCAATGACGAGGAATTTAACCCCGAATTGGAGATTGATTCAGGGAGTAATTCTTCTTCAATGGGGAGTGACTGGTCAGATGGGGATCAAAATGTGAGTTCTTTGGATAGGACAGTGCAGAACTTGCTTAAGAGGTATGGTGAAGTGAATCACCAGATGGCAAACTCATCGAAGCAGATTGACGGTGCGCAAGTGATGCCATTGGCAGTCTCGGGTTCTAGGTGTAGGTTCCAGAATGAGCAAGAATCGCCTGTGCATGAACCTCGTTCTAACAAGAAAGAATTGGGTGCTGCCCTCGCGGTATAATGAATATTTTGTAATTGGTCTCTGTTATAACATTTTGGTTTACAATTTTAGGCCCTGCTTATGTTCTTGTATGTTCTTAATCAGATATTTTGTTACCCAAGCTTATCTAACCAGATTGTGCTTAATGTGATTGAACTTACTGATGTTCTCAAATTATTTTACTTTTAGGTTATTAGGAAAGTTATGAGAATGGATGCAGCTGTACCTTTCAACATTCCCGTGGATCCAATAGCTCTGAGGTTACCTGTGAGTGTGACTTTCTATTTGTGTATTGTCTTACTGTTTTTCTCAAGTGATAACATGACATGGTGATCGTCATGATATAATGCTCTGGAATATGTCTTCTGGTTCTGTATAGTCTTTTATCTCTATTGCGTTTAAAAAGCTTTTAAAAATGGATTGTGGCTTCTAGCAATAAGTATGTCGAGATACCCTGTTAAACATGTAAGAAACTAGCTTTTGGGGTACAAGCTTGACTATCGCTAAGAGCTTGTACATTTAGTGGGAAAATGACCTGAATGAGATGTTTTGTCTGCACCAAAGTATAATATTAATGCTATGACTTAGCTGTCTAAGTATACACAATGAGTGTTTGGCATGCATTATTAAACTGAATGATACAAGCTTACCACTAAGCTTGTAAATTTTGTTGAATTATGACCTCAATGTTTTTGTCTGCATGGGACTATATATGGTTATATCTAGGTATACAAACTGAGTGCTTAGTGAGCACTCTTTTATGCTGAATGTTGGAGGCTGTTACCTGGACGTGACAAGGGGGAGTGTCATATCTATCTCTAGTTATTGCTCAAAATTGCTCACTCATCCATCTTAGGAAGAGACATCACAAGGTGGGAGGTGTACTTTCTATGTTCTTCAAATCGTGACAATTCCAATTGAGCATTGGCGGCTCCTCCTTGCATTCCGACTTCCCTCACCTTTTCATTTCCTATAACAGTTCACAGTCAAAAGAGAGAGTGAGGGGTAGGATAGTTTGGTTGGGGCCTCTATTCTTGTGTGGTTGGCTTGCAGTGAAGAATGGTTTTGGGCTTGAGTGGAAAACAAAGGCTGGAGTCAAAACCTATTATTTTTATTGGTGCACACATATATTTCCATTCTTTTACCAAGTAGGTCAAAAAACCTGATTTGATTTCATTTGATTGTATGAAAACATCGGTTTTGATTATTTATGTATTTGTATATACATATTATTAACTTTTTCTATCTTGCTTGCATAATAAGTAATGCCTAATGTATATAGAACAAAGGTTACAAAGCCAGGGTCAAAAGTACCAAAAACCGCTGCAGTAAAAGCCTGAAAAGCACTTAATTGTGGTCAGAAACAGAATAATGTATTGTTGGAAGATTTGGATATCCTATGCGTTTAGAGATTACTCTCTCTCTCTCTTCTATTCTAAGGGATTTGTTAGTAGCCGTTAAATGATACGGTTTAGCTTTACCATGTGTAATTAGCATTACCTTAAAGGTCCTTGCTCGTTACTCCCAGTTCTAGGTGGAACTCTTATCCACTTATGCAGAAAAATCTCTGTTCTCCATATTATTTTATATACATACATACATACATCTGCAAGTGAATGCACATTGGGGTTCATATGCTGTTCTAGACATTGTAGAATATCATGTTTTCAAAAAGGAAAAACAAGGCTTTTTGTAAAGTCTTAAGGTTCTATTTCACAAGTTGGAAATGTTAGCTTTCTGAGGGATGATTTTAATTTTTTATTTGATGTTATTACATAAAGACCTGAAACGCCACACTGGTGTTATATATGTTGTGTGTTTTGAAATGCGTTGCTGCCTTCTTTTATAATTTTCCTCTCGCTCTTACTGTGTTATTTTCTACTTTTTTTCTTTTTTCCTTGGGTGTGGTGGCGTCTGGAACCAGGATTACTTTGATGTCATAGAAATGCCAATGGATTTTGGAACAATTTGCAACCATCTTCAAAATGGTACAAAGTATACAAACTCGGAGGATGTATTCAAGGACGTCCAATACATTTGGGAGAACTGCACCAACTATTACAGTGAGGGTAACTTTCTTTTGGACCTTATGAAACGGGTGAAGGAGAAATTCCTGAAATATTGGGCAGCTGCTGGTTTGTGCAGTAAAGAATGTGGGACAAGTAATGGTAAGGTTTCATTTTCCTTTTGTTTTGTTACTTTATTTTGAAATGTTTAAAAATGTGAAAGGGTAAGCTGAGACTCGAATTATAATAATAATAAAAATACATTATAGTTAAAAAGTATGTTGACTAGTAATCAACGAACACCATATAATTCAACAATCTTTCAAACTTAGAAACGAAACAAAAATAACTCACAGACCATTTACTACATTCAAAAAGCAATTCCAAAAAGAGAAGCCATTTCATCCATTCCATTTCCACTACTTCTCATTATTTGTGTTAGGGACTTGAGACATTTTGGGTCTTTATTATTTTATTTAAGAAGTGTCAGTTTACCACAGATAGTATAAGCATCAGCAGAATAGCGCATGTCTTAGCCAAAATGTGTAAATGGAATTATTGCTAGAATGCCTAGAAATTAGCTATCTTCCTTAAACAATTGATAAACAATGCATTTCATGCATACATTTTCCTTTGATAAGTTCGAGAGAAAACCTGCATTTAAGGCTCTTTCTGTTGTGGGCTTCAGATCTATGCAGCCTTACCCTTGCTTGCAGAGAAGCTAGTCCTGTTTTAAACTTGGCAACTTTAGGTTGATATGAAGTAACTTTGCAGTTGCACAAAAACCTTATCGTGGAAGTACGTTTATTGAATTGTTCTATAAGGGCTTTGTAGTCCTCATGCTTGAATGATACTTGTATTACATATGGTTGAACTTTTTTGTCATTGCATGTTTCATGTTGTGGTTTTGATCAAATATGGATTGCCTTTGATTAATTCCTTAAGCGCTTGCACAAGTTACACAGTCCACTATAGGTGTGTGCACTTAAAATCTTCTAAATCGATAGAACCTTTGTATACAGCATTATTCAAGTTTTTTGCCACTTATTTGTATATTAAGTATATTGTTTAAGATCAAAAGAACCTACATCTACAACAACAACAACAACAAAGCCTTTTCCCACTAAGTGGGGTCGGCTATATGAATCCTAGAACGCCATTGCGCTCGGTTTTGTGTCATGTCCTCCGTTAGATCCAAGTACTCTAAGTCTTTTCTTAGAGTCTCTTCCAAAGTTTTCCTAGGTCTTCCTCTACCCCTTCGGCCCTGAACCTCTGTCCCGTAGTCACATTCTTCGAACCGGAGCGTCAGTAGGCCTTCTTTGCACATGTCCAAACCACCGGAACCGATTTTCTCTCATCTTTCCTTCAATTTTCGGCTACTCCTACTTTACCTCGGATATCCTCATTCCCAATCTTATCCTTTCTCGTGTGCCCACACATCCCACGAAGCATCCTCATCTCCGCTACACCCATTTTGTGTACGTGTTGATGCTTCACCGCCCAACATTCTGTGCCATACAACATCGCTGGCCTTATTGCCGTCCTATAAAATTTTCCCTTGAGCTTCAGTGGCCTACGACGGTCACACAACACGCCGGATGCACTCTACACTTCATCCATCCAGCTTGTATTCTATGGTTGAGATCTCCATCTAATTCTCCGTTCTCTTGCAAGATAGATCCTAGGTAGCGAAAACGGTCGCTTTTTGTGATCTTCGCTAGATTGCTCCGGTCATTAGTGTGGATAAGTATATAAATGGATAGAGATAGGAAAGCAAACACAAGATGTACGTGGTTCACCCAGATTGGCTACGTCCACGGAATAGAGGAGTTCTCATTAATTGTGAAGGGTTTACACAAGTACATAGGTTCAAGCTCTCCTTTAGTGAGTACAAGTGAATGATTTAGTACAAATGACATTAGGAAATATTGTGGGAGAATGATCTCGTAATCACGAAACTTCTAAGTACCGGAGTGTGGTATCGTCTTGACTTGCCTTATCTGTCTCATAGGTAGATGTGGCATCTTTCTCTGGAAGTACTCTTCCTCCATCCAGGGGTGGTATCTTTAACTGGTGGAGATGCACAAGGTAATGTATCAATTTCACTTGAAGCTTACTTGTAGTTTCAGGCTTGGTCAAGCGCGATACAAACCATGTAGTAGGAGTCCCCCAAGTCGCCGAGCTAGGGGATCTGCTGAAAGAGGTGACAGACAAGGTAAGCAATCAGAGCTCCGGCTGATTGTTCACCATTCTCCCTATCTTGCAGGCAGCATGAAGGATAAAGAGAAGAAAAAAATGAGAAGAGATGATATGGGATACTTTTGCTTTTGAAGAAGTAACTTTCCACAGGCTTATTCTTGAACTGGGCTGGAGGGTTTTCTGGTTTCCTCCAGAGTATAAGGCCGACTGAAGAATTTGAGGGTCAAAACAAGTCCATCAAATCTAGAGTACGTTCGACCCTGCTGATATGGGATACTTTTGCTTTTGACAGAGTAGTGGATGTATCGGCACGTGTGCTGTTACGCTTGTCTCCACATGCTTCCTTGTATCCTTCTCACTTGCCCTATCTGTTCCTCAGGCAGATGCGGTATCTTCCCTGGAAGCATAAGATGTTGAAGATGAGTACTCGAGAGCAATGCCAGGTAAGTAATCAGGTAAGGGGTTCCAGGCAGTCAGTTCCTGGCTGGAAGCTTGATTCCAAGTGCTGACTGATTGCTCTCTTTCTCCTTGTCTTGCAGGTAAGAACAAGGCCAAAGGAAAAAGACAGGGAAAAAGCATGATATGGGATACTCTTGCTTTTAACCCTGATGATATGAGATATTCTTGCTCTAGTATAGCTTGTTTGCAGAGGTATTATCGGGGGGAAAGAAAGCTGAATATTTCGAAAGGCTTCGTTGGGAGTGCCCTCTCAGATATGAGGAAGGGTTGAGCATTTTTGCAGGTCTGCCTGTCCGTTGGGGATGGAGGTCGACATATATAGGAGTCTCCCTAACAACAAGTAGTAATGCTATTCCTTTACCCTGCTTGGTCATAGCACGGTAGTGGGAGCTGCCAGCTTCACATGTTTTAACTCTGTCAGAGCACTTTTGAAAAAGTGGTCTGTGGTATCTGGGCTCTCGAGATTCGGAGAACGATGCCTTTTCGATTTTTTGAGAAAGCAATCATGTTGGGGGTCTGGCTCTCGAGATTCGGAGAGCGGTGTCTCTTCGATTTTTGAGAAAGTAATCATGTTGGGAGTCTGGCTCTCGAGATTCGGAGGGCGGTGCCTCTTCGATTTTGGAGCAAGCAATCTTGTTGGGAGTGTTTTCTCGAATGTGAGTAAAGGTTGGGCATGTTTGCTAGTCTACCTTGCCACGAAGCACAGAGGTTGACACACAGGGACTTTCCAATTATCCAGCAATGGTACTGTTCCTTTACCCTCTCTTCGATTTTTGAGAAAGTAATCATGTTGGGAGTCTGGCTCTCGAGATTCGGAGGACGGTGCCTCTTCGATTTTGGAGCAAGCAATCTTGTTGGGAGTGTTTTCTCGAATGTGAGTAAAGGTTGGGCATGTTTGCTAGTCTACCTTGCCACGAAGCACAGAGGTTGACACACAGGGACTTTCCAATTATCCAGCAGTGGTACTGTTCCTTTACCTTCAAAATTTATGTGTCTAAACTTTGTTACTGTTTCTTTGCTATTCTTTTATGTAGTGGGAGCTGCAAGCTTCACGTGTCTCAACTTTGTCAGAGAACTTTGGCAAAGTTATCTGTGGTACCCATGAGCTACTGTTGCGTGTGGGAAGTGGGTGATTGAACAGTAAGATTCATGTGCTTTCTACTTCACCAGAAATCTTCGACAGAATGCCCATAATTTCCGCAAAGCTGAGTGTGCGTGTGACAGGTGCTGACAAGGCTGGAAAAGTAGGTGCCTCTTCGATTTCTGAGATCGGCCCTCGTGGTCTCTGAGCAGCCCAGCTTTTGAGAAAGCAAGCGCCTCTTCGATTTCTGAGATCGGCCTTCGTGGTCTTTGAGCAGCCCAGCTTTTGAGAAAGCAAACGCCTCTTCGATTTCTGAGATCGACCCTCGTGGTCTCTGAGCAGCCCAGCTTTTGAGAAGCAAACGCCTCTTCGATTTCTGAGCAGGCGCCTCTTCGATTTCTGAAGCTCCGTCGAGTGCAGATTTTTATAGGGGCTGGCATTAAGTTCCAAAGCACACTTGAATCTCCACCAGTAGAAGCTCCATTCTTGCACTTCTAAGATCTTGATTTGTCCGACCTCTTCTCTCTTCAACACCTTTGAAAATGTCTGGCCCCTCCGACCGTCGTTTTGACTTGAACCTTGTTGAAGAGGCAGCCCCGCCTTCTCCAGACAACATATGGCGCCCATCCTTCGTCTCCCCTACTGGTCCTCTTACCGTTGGGGATTCCGTGATGAAGAATGATATGACCGCTGCGGTGGTGGCCAGGAACCTTCTCACTCCCAAAGATAACAGACTACTTTCCAAACGGTCTGATGAGTTGGCTGTTAAGGATTCTCTGGCTCTCAGTGTTCAGTGTGCAGGTTCTGTGTCTAATATGGCCCAACGCCTATTTGCTCGAACCCGCCAAGTTGAATCATTGGCGGCTGAAGTGATGAGTCTCAAACAGGAGATTAGAGGGCTCAAGCATGAGAATAAACAGTTGCACCGGCTCGCACATGACTATGCTACAAACATGAAGAGGAAGCTTGACCAGATGAAGGAATCTGATGGTCAGGTTTTACTTGATCATCAGAGATTTGTGGGTTTGTTCCAAAGGCATTTATTGCCTTCGTCTTCTGGGGCTGTACCGCGTAATGAAGCTCCAAATGATCAACCTCTGATGCCTCCTCCTTCTAGGGTTCTGTCCAGTACTGAGGCTCCAAATGATCCCCCTCCGGTGCCTTCTCTTTCTGGGGCTCTACCGACTGCTGAGACTTCTCCTAAGCAACCTTTGTGAAGGCTCCCTCTTGTGTGTTTATTTTGACTCATGTATATGTACATATTTGTAGCTTATCGGGGATATCAATAAATAAGCTTTCCTTCATTTCAACGTATTGTGTTAAATACACCAAAGCCTTCTTCGCTAAGTTCTTTGAATTTTCTTTTGTTGAAGCTTGTATGTTGAAGCTCATTTTATATCAATATTATATTCACACTTGATTAATGTTAATAATATGATATTTTTAAGCACTTCCTCTATGCTTCTTCATAAAATCACTTAAAAATAATTTTAAGTCATTTTATGGAGAATCACACGGGAGGTGTTTCTCTACAAATAATTTTTCAGTAATTTTACCAAGAAGCGCATGGGAGCCGCTACTCCCTAAAAGTGATTTTGGTCCTCCCAGAATCATTTTCAAATGAACCCTAATCTTTTAATTGCTTCTTATGATATTTACTTAGGATGGGGCATGCATATTATATATTTCATTACCACTGAAGGCTACTTCTTTCCTGTTTATTAAATTTTGATTATTTTCTTTCTAGTTTTACCAAGCTCTAATGTGGGGAAAAGGAAGACACGAGGACCTACCCGTAACCTTAAACTAGCTCAAATTCCTCCTGGAGAAAGATTTGAAATCGGCTGGAAGAACCGGAGGGCCGTAGGTGAAGGCTCCACGTTTTTCAAATCAGAGTGTACAGCCCTAGTTAGGCAAACCCGGGAGATACCCCTACAAGTCAAGTCATGGAAGGAAATCCCATTTGATATTAAAAAGAAGGCATTTGAACATGTCTTGGTCCGTACAACAAAAAATTTGGAAGTAGTTCACAGTAGACCAATTAATTTTCCCTTAAATCCTTATTTTTGCATGTTCATCGTGTAATATTTCTTCGTACATGTTCCTCAGAAGCGTTTCAAAGTTGAAGATCACATGAAATGGGTCTTGGATCAGATTCATAGATCCTACCACAGTTATCGGCATCACCTTAAGAAGACGTGCTATGAAACATGTGAGACGATTGAGGAAGCACGTGAAAAAGTACCACCAAATGTTGCAGAGGATGATTGGCAGTATCTTGTAAATTTGTGGAGCTCACCTGAATGGCAGGTACTGCCAAATGTTACATATCAAAGAAGATAACAAGAGAAAAAAATCAAGAACTTTACATTTCCCTATTTACCTTTTAGTTCTCTACTCTGTTTATTTGTATACATTAATGGTCTTTTCCTTAAATGCAGGTACTTAGTAAGCAAAACAGGGAGAATGGTTCCAAAAATAACATTATTCACACATCTGGCTCCAAGAGTTTCTCGCAAATCCGTGAGGAAGAGGTAATGACCTGTTTTATTCACTGTGTCTTGTGTTTAGTAATATCTTACTGAGTCGCTCATCTTTCTACTTCTTCTTGTTCTCTTTGTTTTTGGTAGAAAAAGAAGACTGGAAATGAGCCTGGCCGTACACTTTTCTGGGAACTCACGCATGTGCGGCCTGATGGACTAGCCGCAAATCCAGCTTCACAGGAGGCATTGGTATATCTTGAACCTGGAATTAAATTATAAAAATGCAAGCATACCTAATTTTTAGTTAATTTAGGTTTGGTTTCATTTCTTCTTTATGTAAAAAAATGAGAATAATATTTAATTTTACCTAGTTGTTCCATTTTGTGAACGCAGTCAAAGCTTAAGAGACTTTATGCTCAAATGGCAGCGGAAAACTCACAGATGACTGAAGATGAGATTTTTGTAAAGGTTTTTGGACCTGAGCGTTCGTCGAGGGTGCGTGGTTATGGGGATGGTGTAACACCTAAAGAGTTAATGGACCCATCGTCGTCGTCGTCGTCTATTGTCAGTGAACTTAAAAGGCAACTTGAAGAATCAAAGCAGCGACAAGAGGAGTCTGAACAAAAAAGTGCTGCTGAGGTACAGAGCTTGAAAGAGCAACTTGGTCGGGTTGAGGGCTTGCTATCAGCGCAAATGAGTCGGTTTGAAGGTCTACTAGTACAGTTGACTAGTCATATGCAACCCCCTTCCCAGATTGAGAGGCCTACAGAAAATCAACTCCCTCGAAATGGTAGGCATCTTTGAATACTTACTTTCTAAGGAGTTATTGCATAAGTTTTTGTGGAAAAACGGATTTACTAGCTTTGATACTTTATATTGTAGTATGATTCATTTGCATTGAGAATTTAATTTTCTATTTTCTTGTCTGGTAAAAGACTGATAGGGAAGAATATGAATGAGGCACCTTAACATATCAAGTGTTTCATAATTCTTCATTGATAAATAAGTTAATGAAGGTCGAGTGTACATGTGTTATTTTGCTCAATGACCTCCTGTGATAAAAAGCCTTTGAAATTCTATATCTTCAGAGGCAACTTTTCAACCGTCTCAACTTTTCGGATCTTTGTTTCTTGTAGTCCTCTTAATGAAGCTATTGGTTCCATGAATGACTGACCCTCCTATTACTATTAGTGGTAATGTGTGGAACCAATGAGAATGGTGATAGGAGGTGTAATTAAAAACTCAAAATTTTTAGTGTCTGGTTTGGTTTGACAAATACCAAGGTTCTCCACCATCGTGCGATGTTACTGCGGGTGGTTCATGTCAGATCCGAAATACTTTGCCCTGCATCTCCCTAGTGAAATTTTGGCGTTGTCTCTTGGTTTTTATGAAGTATGCAAATTTAATAGTTTTGACGGGGTCCTTCCTCAAATTAGTTTTCCATTTAGTTGTTTACTGGTGATAAATTCACTCGTGGCTTGCATTGCATAAATTCAAGTTTATCTCTGAGATTACTCGTAGCTGAACGCCCTCTGGTTCATTTCGTGCATGATATGTTTCGATACTCAATTCGCTTGTAACAACTGTTGTTTTTGTTCTCTTTTCTCAGGTCGGACACGGACTTCCCGACCTAGAAGATGAAATCCATATCAGCTATGTTTATGTTCTGTTTATCCATCAAGAAGCTGAAGTAATATATTCGGATCATTGTATTATATTTCATTTGATGCATCAAAAGCTTTTTGTGAATCAGATGAATGTGTTCAATTTACTATGGATGGTTAGTGGATTTTCTGTTCAATTAGTGACTGGTGGACTTGTATCAATGGATCATTAGGGTTTTTATGGACTTTTTAACGGAAATTTAACCTCCAGTATTTGTTTTTAGAGCTACTGTCCAGAACCGCAGCGGGTGATGGCAAGATCAACTGATAGAAGCCAAAGAATCAGCAGCAAGGGTGTTATTGTTTTCGGAATATCGTTGGGCGAGTGAAATGGGAGCAGCCTAAACCGTGAGAACGGGGGTTTTGATTGATCAAAAAGAAGAATCTACTTTAACCGATATGCCCTTAGGCACGGCCATACATAACATAAAATGATCAGATTTCAAATCTTAATTGATGAACTGATCAAATCAAACATTAAACATTGACGACGTAGCAAATTGTCTCCGAAGACATGCTGGTTGGGGTTGAATGAGCTATCTGAGCCAGCAAATCTACTTCACAAAGATGTTTTAAGAAAAGAGATTCAAACTCAACTGCAAAGAGCACATTTCTCTGATTAATTAATCTTAACATACATGGTAACCGTAACGTTGGTTGATAAGCAAAATTTGAGAGAATTAAAGACTCGTCTGGTATGATTAGAACTATTTAGAACCCTAATACGCAATGTTATACATAAAATGCAAGTAACTAGAACGACGAATGACATTGATGCAAATATATATAATATATCTTTGGTAAATCATGGATACAATGTTTGAGAGACAGACACATATCAAACCGACTTCATCTTGGTCTTCAAATGCCTCAATACCTCGCATCATTTTTTCTATAAAAATGAAATCTAAAGAAATTTAGATAAAGATGTGTCTTTTCGTAACTGTGCAAAGACTTGAGAAATCTAGAGTTCTATATATTGATAACAAGTAAAGGACTAGAAAGGCGGTTCCTCGTCAGTGGCTAACCTAACATCTAATCTAACAAAATCTATCGTTTGACAAAATAAAAAATAAAAACACAGTTGGTATAAATCTGTGTGCATAATCAAGTTTTGATAGGTCTTATATGTTTTAATTTGTTCAAACCAATTAGGAAAGTGAGTCATCTTGACATTTACTATTATTCGTTCATCCTTATCTTTATATTAATTACTCAACCCACAAAGGAAACTTCACAAGACTAAATCTTTTGATATAACTATATATTTACACAAAGGGGTAGATGAATAAATTGGTTTTGAACTCGCCATTCGCGAGTATCGAACCTAAAACCTCTCACTTACAAGAAATTCAAACGTCTACTCATGATTACATAACATTAAACCAAACGCAATTTTTGCTAAAGAAGCGTTCAAGATAATCTACTAAAGGTGGGCATAAAAACCCAAAATGTGCAACTCAAAACTTGGACTTGAATTGAGTAAAATTAGACTCTCAGCATAAGCATCGACATAGGATAAGTAGTTACAATTCAATCTGATTCCAAACAACAACAACAACAAAGCCTTTTCCCACTAAGTGAGGTCAGCTATATGAATCCTAAAACGTCATTGCTCTCGGTTCTGTGTCATGTTCTCCATTAGATCCAAGCACTCAAGTCTTTTCTTAGGGTCTGTTTCAAATTTTTCCTAGGTCTTCCTCTACCCCTTCGGCCCTGAACCTCTGTCCCGTAGTCACATCTTCGAACCGGACCGTCAGTATGCCTTCTTTGCACATGTCCAAACCACCGTAACGGATTTTCTCTCATCTTTCCTTCAATTTCGGCTACTCCTATTTTACCTCGGATATCCTCATTCCTAATCTTATCATTTCTCGTGTGCCCACAATTCAATCTGATTCCGGTAACCGTAATTGAGATTGACTCGGGATCAAATAAAATAACATTTGAGCGCCTCGCATAACCAAATGAAGTCTGTCATTTGCTCTCATCCTTAATGGCCATGCTAGTTTAGAGTATGGAAAAGGAACCGTGTGGATCAAGCATATGTCACGGTACAAACCAAGCGTGTCTGATCTCGATTGGAACAAGGAGAGTGAATTCTCAAACACTAGAATTATGAGATCAAAAGCAAGGATGCAAGTGCAATGTTGAGAAGGCTCCTTTATGATCCAATACACAACTCCGTTCATATATGTGAATCTGGATTATAATAAATGGACATCAGTTAATGGTTGATTTGACAAAAATTTTAACGGATGTATGAAATTGCAATGAAATATTAAGTAAATATTTGATATTGAAATATTTTTAAAATGTTGTATGAAGTTGCAATTACACCCAAATCTGAAGGGATAAAACGTAATTTACCCTCAGAGTTACATTATGAGATTACTGTCTAGTTCTTCTTATACTTGTATATTAACAACCATGCCAAATTTTGTCACTCTTTTATGAACAACAATACATAGATTATAAATAAATAAGGTGAAGCCAACAAGATATGATAGAACTCTGGGGACTATACGTGAGATTTGAAGTCATGATAATGCAAGTTATTAGAAAGAGTCATGTTATTGATGCATATATGTACCTCTGGTAAATCATGGATACGATGTTCGAGAATCAGGCACACGTCAAACCCTTTAGAGATTGAGTCATCTACTGATTCGTCATGGTCTTCAGATGCCTCAATACTTTGCATCATTTGCTCTGTGAAACATTAACCTAAAGAAATTTAGATCAAGATGTATCTTTTTTGTAATTGTGCAAAGACTTGAGAAATCTCGGTTCCTTTTATTGACAAAAATTAAGGGTCTAGACGGCGGTTTTACAAATACAATGGGCACAAACTTGTGTGCCTCATCAGGTTTTGACAAGTCCGATATGGTTTTAAATCGTTCAGACCAATTTGGAAAGTAAGTCATTTAGACGTTTACTATATCATTTGTTCATCCTTATCTTCATATTAATTACTCAACCCACAAGGGAATCTTCACAATATTAACGATTGCTGACACACCCCGACTCAGAAATCAGGGCGTGCTGGCCGTCACGTGAGCGTGACGTAACCATAAGTGCAAGCGGAAACGATAAGGTAAGAAATACGAACAAATAAAAACCAACTAAAAGCAATAACATCCAACGATAATGCAAGAGTGTTAAACACACATAAACAGAGCATAGAAGCCTAGGTGCAGTCAAGTAGGACTATAATTAAGTTACAACACCCACAGGTGAGTCCTACATTTAGGTAGTCTGTCAGAACGCCGTGAAATTCCTCGTGAGCCACCAACGCTGCTATCTACAACCTGGAGGGGCGCAAAACCGAAAACGTGAGTGGGCGAAAATAAAGCTTTTCAAAACAACTCATTTATCAACAATTATATCCCCTCGCCGTAAAACCTGTATACTTTCCCAGAAAAATAGTATATAAACATATATATATCATCAAAAGCTCAAATCACAATCCTTCAACGCTTTTCAAAAATAATATGTCATACCTTGCCATATGCCAAAATATAATATGAATGCATCAATATAAATCAAGTGAAATAATAAATCAACCGCAGACCCTACAGTGGTCCTGTACGGCTGATTCTATAGCTCATTATCCCATCTAGCCGGAGTCACCAACTGTGACCTGTATGGCACTACACTGCACATAAGTCGGAACTACCTATAGTGGTCTGTACGACTAAGATGGTGAAATAATACGCTCTAGTGCTTCTCTCATCAATCATCTGTGCACAATATCTAAAGTCACCTACCAGTCGGAATCCCTCTAATGGTCTGTACGACTGGCATGTCGGAACCACCTCTAGTGGTCTGTACGACTAGCATCTACTTGGATCCAAGGTGAGCGTGTGATGCAGGGTGAATAACATAAGCACTAACACCGGGGGTGCAGGTTATGAGCTCTCAACACAATTCACATCATCACTAAATCACATGAACAACATAAACCTCACCTGATACTCACCTGTGCGTCCACATCACCATGTCACATATATGCATCATATACCAATCATATAATCCATATAATTTCTATGCATGGCATTGCAAAACTCATTTCATAACGCATTTCATTTAAATTCGATTTCTGGGAAAATCAATAGTATATAGGTATATATAGAAAACGAATGCCCACTCACTGGTAAGTCGATGGGTCGTAACCCCCGTGACGTCCCTGGATGCGCTCGTCCTCGGGATAGGTGTCACCTATATGCGAAACAACTATAAAAACGTTAATTTCATGCACATAACCAACAATTCGAAATAACTTCTCATACGGTGCTCAATTTGGGTATATGAATATACCACATCGACCTACTCGACGTCACGGACGTCAAGAAATTTTTTTGACGTGGCACGCGCCCCCACGCGCCGGGAAGGGCACGGGTTCACGCGCCCCCCACGCACGTCTCCTACCTTGGGCTCGCCGGACTGGTTTTTCCGGTGGCCGGAATCTGGGGAATTTTCAAACGCTTTGTTCTCCTTCGTTTCTCAACCGTTTTCTTCGTATTTTATATCAATTTGAAGCCCTCAACATGTAGAATCACGATAGACTAGTTTTAAGGTCTAAAATCCACTATATTTTACCTGAGGAAGCTCGATAATCCAGCCAAATTTGAAAAACTCCGTTCTCAGTCCTCCGAAGTCCAAATTCTACCAACGAAGTACCCCAAAGCTCGTGAGGATCTCCTTAAGCTCACTGTGAGCTTGAAATTCCCTGAAATGCAAGATTTTATGTGTGCATGAACAGTGCACATTTTCGGGGTTAGGGTTTTACTACGATTCTGAGGATTTTAAGTTCCAAAAATCACATATACAAACTCACAAGCTTACTAGGAGTTCATATCGTACCTTAGAACCTTCGATCCGTGAAGAAATGGGAGGTTCCTAGCTTGTCCGTACGTTTTGAGAGTGAGAGAGGAAGAACTGAGAAGGGGAGAGAGATAGAGGGCACGGGGGAAAGGGACAGGGTGTCCCGTGTGTGTGTGGTCCCTCAAAACCAAACCATCCATTTTTTTTCTAACCACAAAAATTACAAACCAATTTTAATCTAACTTAAAATATTTTTCCTAAAGTTTAGGAATGAATTTAATCCAATAATATGCCACACACACATACCTTAATACCCGTCAAGGGCAATTCCGTCATTTCACGTCCCCGATATAAAAAATCCCGGGACGGGCTGTGACAATTGCCCAGCTTGTTATACGTTAAAAAATTAAATAATTTAGGAGAAAATAAGAAAAGTGGGGAAAATTTTGATAATAGAGGTAATATGCATTTAACACATTATCCTTAAATATTTAGGATTAGTTTGAGACTACTTACCATTATCTTGACCCAAAGTAGGTAAAAAACACCGAAACAAAAGTGCGGGTTAAAATAAAAAGAAATGAATGGTGAGTGTTAAAATAACATCTCTAATAAGAATAAGGCTTTTTAGCCAAAATGGTGTCTGAGATTTGCATAACTTCTCACTTTGGTTCTGAGATTTCAAATCAATAGAAGTGGTCCATGAGATTGTCCACCATTCATCATTTTGGTCTTTCCATTAAAAACTCCATTAAGTGTCCCTGAGCTCTTGGCCAGAAGTTTGGGCAATTTTCAAAACTTCGTAACTCAATTGTTTCTTAACCAAATTCAACCCATAATATATCAAAATGAAAATAGGAAAGTGTAGAATAAGATTATACATATTTGGAAGCCCAATGGTTGATGGAGATGGTTGGAAAATAGCCTCAAAGTTGACTGGTCCGAGGAAAAACTGAAAAAGTCTCCAGAAACTGGGTAAACTTTAAATGTTCATAACTTCTTCAATACTCAACGAAATCAAGTGATTCAAAAACGAAAATCATACTTCTCGATGTGATAAAAAGAATAGTACCTTTTTCAATGACTAAATCACCGTGGTTTAACCGGAAAACATCTCGAAAGTGGTTGTCTTGGTCTCAAGTTAGCCAATTTCGAGCCTTTTTTTTGCCAAACCACGGTGAGTTAGCCATTGGAAAAATGTACCATTCTATTTGTCTCGGTGAGAAGTATTATTTTTGTTTTTGAATCACTTGATTTCGTTGAGTATTGAAGAAGTTATGAACGTTTAAAGTTTACCCAGTTTCCAGTAAGTTTTCCAGTTTTCCCTCAGACCAGTCAATTTTGAAGCTATTTTCCGACCATCTCCGACAGACATTGGGCTTCCATAATCTTATTCTACACTTTCCTATCTTCATTTTGATATATTATGGGTCGAATTTGGTTAAGAAACGATTGAGTTACGAAGATTTGAAAATTGCCCAAACTTTCGGCCAAAAGCTCTGGGACACTTAACGGAGTTTTGAACGGAATGACCAAAACGATGGAGGGTGGACAATCTCAGGGACCACTTCTATTGATTTGAAATCTCAGGGACCAAAGTGAGGAGTTATGCAAATCTCAGGGACCATTTTGGCTAAAAAGCCTAAGAATAATTAGGAATTTTTACAGGAGTGCACGAAATATTAATAACAGGGAGCTTTATCTATAGATACAAAAACTTTAATTATATTTCAAGGAATTCCACTAGTTTTTAAACATGTCAAGTAGAGATAAAAACATAAAAACAACTAAAGCCCAATCCAAAAACATGGAAACAATGTTTTAAAATACCAGTCATACTTCCAAGGCTTTAGGGCATCTAATAGAGCTAGCCCTCACAACTCCAACAAAATTAATGTGTCATAAGCTTAACTCATCATCGACTATTTCTTCAAAATTAGTTTTAAAACTATATGTAGAATTAGTTTGTATCCTTTATTACTATAATCGGTTCAACATGTCCTCAACCATTTTTGCAGAATCAGTTCAATCAATCCTTACCCACGTTTGCAGAATCAGTTCAATTAGCCATCGATCATTTTTGCAGAATCAGTTTAATCCGCCTTCGACAATTTTTGCAGAATCAGTTCAACCCGTCATCAACCATTTTGCATAATCAGTTCAACCTGTCTTCGACAACTTTTGCAGAATCAGTTCAATAAGTCATCAATCATTTTTGCATAATCAATTCAACCCATCCTCGACTATTTTTGCATAATCAGTTCAATTCGTATTCGACCATTTTTGCATAATCAGTTCAATTTGTCCTTGACTATTTTTGCAAAATCAGTTCAACAGTCATCTACCATTTTAGCAGAATCATTCCAACCCATCTTCGACCATTTTTGCATAATCAGTTCAACCTGTCCTTGACCATTTGAGCAGAATTAGTTCAACTCGTCCTTCAGTATAGGGTGGGCATGGTTTGGTTTAGTGTGTTTGGGGTGAAACGGAAACCGAAACCGAATTTTTTTGCGATTCGGTTTGGTGAGGTTTTGAAGCTTGAAACAATATGGAACCAAACCATTTGGTTGCGGTTCGATTTCTAATCATTTGCAAACTAAATACATTATGTCATCAGTACAACCGATTGAAAAAGAAATTCATGATCACCATATTAAAATTGAAGTTGAAATAAAGATTAATGAATATCAAATGAAAATCAACCACATAATAACTAGTAAAGATTTAAATCACATCTTTGTAGACTTCGTTATATGACTAAAATTAGAAAAGAAGTGCTGCACGGAAATAGATGTTGATTTTGATTAGTTATCGTTAAATTAGTTTAAATTTTAAGATTTGTGAAATAGATACATTAAATTAAAATCATCAAACAATAATCAATAATGTATTAAGTATCACCATCACTTTAGTGTCGTGAGCAAAGGCGGATGCACACTGGGACCTAGGTGGTCCTAGGACCACCCCGAGTTCAAAAAATATACATGTTAAGGTCTTCCGAGGACCCTCCGAATGTTTTGTACAGGTCCTTTTGTACCTACCAAGTGTTTGATGTAATACCTGCTAAGCATATCTCGACAGGTTGCGCGGACTACACTCGACAGGTTGCGTAGACAACACTCAATAAATTTTCTCGATATCGCTCATCAAATGTTTAATGAAATGCCTCAGTGAATAAACTGAAACTTTTTTTGCTTGCTTTGCGCTCTATTTCTATCTAAAAAACTTGGACCTTTAACACTAGGACCGCCCAAGATTCAAATCCTAAATCCGCCACTAATCGTGAGCAAAACATATGTCCAAAATCAAAGGCTTTAAGTTGGTAACTTGATGGAATATTAGTAGGAGTTGAAATTGATTGAATTTTGAATTGGAAGATAAAAGGAGAAAGGGTAAATTACACAAAACTACTTCAACTATAGATCAAACCACAATCTCATATCTCATGTTTTAAACATAGCAATGTCATACATTCGTTAAATTTTATGTTAATTTAGCTGTTAAATGATGACATGGCAGGAGCGGGTCCCACTTATTTGCCAACTGGAATAAAAATTAATTAATTAATAATAGAATAATAATTTTTATTGAACAATTAAATTTAGGGTTTAGGTCCTTGGGATTGTTCAATCTCTACCGTTCAACCCCAAATGAACGGTCCAGTTTAATCTCCTAGCAAAGTTCTTGCTTCCAACACCAAACCTCTTTCTCCGTCTTTCTTTCTCCTTGATTCTCATAACATTTCAGTCACTTTTTCTCTCCATTATTTCTTTTGTCAAAATTTCTCTCAAAATATCAATTGAATTGCCCCCTTTTCTTCGAGTTAGATTTGATGTGCTCGGCGGTGGCGTTGCAAGCGCAAGGCAAGCTGGCTGCAACCTCTAGTGCTTCCATGGCAGAGAAGAAGACAGAGACACTAGGGACTAGCCCAGAATCCTTCCTCGACCTCCAGCGCCGCCTCTCCCTCAGATCGCCACTGACCTCGCCCACGGCCTCGATTACATCCACCACTGCTCCGGCCTCAACTCCACCTTCGCCCATAACCACATCACGTCTGCGCCAAAATATGCCATTTCGGCATGGCAAAACTCTGCGTGCGGCGTACCCAAATCTGGAAGGTGGAGTCTAGTCATTCTCCCCGCTTTGATCCGCTTCGGGTGTACTCCACTTAGATCCGATATTCCACAATTGGCCGTGTTTAAGAAGAACAAGGAAGGAGGGGACAGAGGAAGTAAAAAAATTGAGGTTTTAAAGAGAGGGTAAAAAGATTTGGAGATTGGGGGATCGAGAAAGAGAGTGTTTTTATTTTTTTTGGTAAGCCGTTTTTGCCATGTCAGCAGTTAACAGAAAAAATTGATCGACAAGGAGACGAAGGTTTGACATTGCAAGAAATTCGGAAGTCAATTCAATACAATACAATCCATCCCTTCATGCTGTTTGCACTACTCCGAAATTTTGCTTACTAACCAGATCAAATACAAACAACCGCGCAAAACACCTGAGCTCAGAAAAAATTTATAACGAGAAAATCACGCATTTATGGATTCATCTAATCGAATCTAATCAGCTTCTTGATCACTAATCAGCGTCAGATTTAACTACCTTCTTCATGGGATGTTAACAAGCTTTGGCCGTCTAGTTTCTGGATTCACCTCTACTCGAAGACCAAGTTGAGCAATTTCTGGTGTATCAACAGCCCCTTGAAGCTCCAATTCAGCCACTACCCTTTCGTTTTCTTCGTTGCCTTCGAATAAGTTCCTCACGCACCAAATGCCCCACTCCCTTAAGTACGGATTGTCGTCATCAAGGCCACACTGTTGCAAGAGCAGAAGAATCCCATCCTTATGTCTAATCTCATCTTGTACAAGCTTCCTTTTATATGTGCAATTGCCAATGACTGCCACTATATCTCTCCGAAATCCTTTATAAGGGCAGGGTTTTAAGGAAGAAGGCTTTGGTCCATCTTGGTCCTCACCTTGCTTGATAGCTTTCCTCATCACTGATGTCGGCTCAAGATCACGAAGCAAACATAAAAGTAATTCTATGAGGCCATGGGACAGCAAAACATCAACAGCATCCCCCAGGTCCTCGTTAGAGCCTCTTACGGACTTCTGAGCACATACATCTCTCAGGATTGTGAGTGAGTATCCTAGAACATCTATCATAATAGAACCTGTTGGAAGTCCAGACTTGCCTCTTGTGGCATAATTAAGAATCCCAGCAGATTTCTTAAATATCCCAAAGACACACAGTACAAAATCACTAGGCACAGTAATCTCTTGAAGCCGCTCATTCAAGATGTCAGATATGTTTCTCAAGAAAAATGCTTGCTCAGTTGAGAAAACGTCTTCTCTAAATTCAGTGTCTTCGCCATTCTCAGTAGCACCAACAAATCCTAAATTTGAGAAAAGTGACTGGAAGTAAGGTCCTTCTAAGCAGGTTCTTGAAAGAATCAACTTGTACCAATCTTCTCCGAAACCAACTGTAAGACACCCGAAAGGTTAAAACAAGGCACAGATTAGGGTTCATTTCATTAATATTAGGTTTCAGCAAAGGAACTCAACTGAAGCTAAGGCGGATGGTATCAAGTGAAATATTGGTGAGATAAAAAAAATTGAATATACAAAGTTACCTGCAGCAGTAGTCTTTACAATCTGTTTCACGATAGTTATCCCACGATCACCGCAAAGTTGGGCAAACCGTTCAGGGCTTCCATCACAACAAGCATAGATAACCATGCACAAGGGATCACAAGTTTCCCGGCTCTGAACTCTTGCTATAGCAACAAATTCTTTTGGAAAAAGTTGCTGCCAAATTGCACACTGATGCCGTTGTCCAGCCAATGAAACATTAGCGAGAACTTGCAACCCCAACCGAACGATCCCAGTATCTGGCTCCGAAGAAAGACTTGCGGAGTTCAAAACATTCAATATGATTGCCACTCCATTTCTTTCAATAAATGAGTCCTGATTTGCAATCTCTCCCGCACAAAGATTTCTTAGGAGCTTTAAACATAATGTGAGAAGATGGCAACCAGAAGGGTAAGGGAGAGATTGTATGAGCAGGATGACAGAGGGAAGAATATCCTTAGACGCAAGGCCTGCACGACCATCCGCAGTTCTACAAACTTGTATTAAATTTTCCAACGAATTTACGAGGGTAGATGAGTTTCCCACACTTAAAATTTTCCGGAGAACATCTTCAGGTACAGAGCACTCTTGCAGTGCTGTGTTATCCATTACTGATCAAATCAACTGATATCAAAACCAAAAAATGCAGAAATTTCAGTAACTAAACTGGGGATAAATAACCGTGGTTGAAAAACAAAAACTATATCTCAATCATTTCTTATCTAACATGAAATCAAACAAAAACTATATATATTGAATTGAATGACAGTAAGTACTTCATCCCACCCAGAATCCAAATCCACCAATTCAATGCAAAAAAAAAAAAAAAAAAAAAAAAAAAAACCCAATTTTCACAAATTTTTTTGAACAAGAAAAAACAGCAAATTCAGGGTAAAAGTAAATTTACCTGGCAAGGTCAATCAAAACCCCAATTGGTAATCGATGGTAGGGAAAGGGACAAAGACAATTGAAGTTTTAATCGAAGCTGAAACAGTGAAACTGAAAGGGGTAGACGGCTAAATGGTGAAAATATGGTCTAATTTAGATAAAAATTCATCTCCGCTCAAAGACTGGGTTAAAACTTAACGGAGCCTCAAAGATAGGGGTGGGGACGGGCCGGGGCCAGGCCCAAATTTGGAAGGACCGGACCGGACCCGCTTAAAAAGGAAACGAAACAAGCCGGGCCGGGTATTGCAAATCTGATCACTGGAACTGGACCTAACCCGGCCCGTTTCAAATGAGCCTGTTCAGGACCAGAGAAGAATATCCTTAGACGCAATGTGAGAAGATGGCAACCAGAAGGGTAAGGGAGAGATTGTATGAGCAGGATGACAGAGGGAAGAATATCCTTAGACGCAAGGCTTGCACAACCATCCACAGTCCTACAAACTCGTCTTAAATTTTCCAACGAATTTACGAGGGTAGATGAGTTTCCCACACTTCAAAATTTCCAGAGAACATCTTCAGGTACAGAGCACTCTCTGCATTATCCATTAGCAATATGCAGAGTGAAATCATGCAGCAAAACCTTAATGATAAATCACCCCAGCTATCAAGCACATTATTAAATTTAAGTCATAAACAAAACCTTAACAGTCACTATCTTAATTGCAACGTCCTCACCTAATCAACCTAAATCAAACTAATGAAGAAAGGCAGTTTATAATGCTATTAACGAAAGCCTGTCAATGAGTAAAAATAAACAAACGAAAGTTTGCTTAGTGCCCGGAATTACGACATACTTTTCAATAGAACTAGTTTCAAAAGCAACACCAGTTTATAATGCTATTAACAGATTTTATAATAGAACTAGTCTAAAGCAACACTAAGCTTACACTCTATAATCCTCCGTGACAAATAAGGTCTTATTTGTTGAGTACAAAAACGGAAACAGGAAAGATCTTTCCCTTCAAATTCGAACATATTGTCACCTAAACGGTTGCTACAAATAAGGTCCAAATTGTTTAGTACAAAAACGCAAACAGGAAAGATCTTTCCCTTCAAATTCGAACAAAGGAGATATTTAAGTGTCCACAGACCAGCAGATACAGTTTCTGAAACATTTTCGGCCACCAGGTAAATCCTTTAGTATCCCATTCTGGAGAACAAGCCCTAATCATTGTAATTAAGGCAACAAGGGAATAATTAAGCATCAAGCACACCAACTTGTATATATAAATCCAGAAAATGCAAATCTTTATCGACAGAAAATGCAAATTAATAATTGAAAATCTGTAAAGGCCACAGTATGAATCCTTCCCTAATCTTTTTCCAATCAGAACCAATTTGAACAGAGAAGTACAATAGAAAATAAAACACAGAGAAGTGAGAGTGTGAGACCAACCTTTTGCCGTCGAGACTCGAAACGGAAGACGAAGCTGACGGCGAGGTGCGAGAGATTGAGAGTGAGAAGGGTCGCGGGTCGCCGCTGGGAATGAGAGACAGAGAGTTTGAGACTGATTCAACTTTGAAGATCGAGAGAGAGAGAAGGCTCACGAAGTCGGACTGGGAAATGGGAAAGACGGAGGGTCACGAGAGGAATACGAGAGGACCTTTGGGTTAGGGCTGGGTAAAACACTAAAACGTTGCAGTTTAGAATAAAGATTATTAATTAATAAAACAATTACAAAACGACGTCGTTTTGTAAAACTTCGGTTCGGTTTTTTTTTTTTTTCAGTTCGGTTTTTTCGGCCTCGGTTCGGTTTTCAGTCAGGTTTTTTTTCGATTTTCGGTTTCCAGCCCACCTCTATTACCACCTACACCTAAAGAATCCAATTCCACCAATACAAGGAATTGAATTCCAAAATTTGTGTGGGTCCCACTACTTTTTTTATTCCTCAATTTTTAATAAATACCGAAGTACTCCGTAATTAAAATTCAATTCCACATTTTCATTCTGATTACTGATACGTAAACTCACCCTTACAGTAATTTAATTGAGAGATACTTACGAATCAAACAACATGATGTTGGTAATTATAACTACTGCTACACTAATGGTAATTTAATAAGTGAAATTCATACATTTTACAAAATTAAATTACGCATAATTTTAATTGTGTATTTTAAATCAATATTTTATATTACTTTAACATGCATGAACATTATACCATTGAATTTATTTAATAAGTTCTTCAATATCAGTCCAATATTGATTATCTTCAAATATTTTTATTTTAGTACTCAAAAGAAACCATAAGCATAAGCCATAACAACACAAAATTCAAAAAGTTGCATCATTCCGTTTTTTATTTTTTTTTTTTGAGTCGAGTGATAACGTTAGTAAGTAAATATTAAATTAGCCACGGACGGAATTCAAACACACATCATCATTTCCCCATTTTTTCTACATTTTACCCCTCAGGTTTGGAGTCGATTTCAATTTCTTACAACATCTTTAAAACATTTCAATTTCATACATTTACTTATCATTTTATTTCAATTTCATACATCCGTTAGAAAATCCATTAAGTAAATTGCTAAGTGGTAACGTGGCAAATATGGGATCCACATTTATGCTGACGTGGCTACCCAATTTGTGTCATGTGACAAAAAAAAATTATACATTAAAAATAGGGCAAAAGACTGTTTAATACCCTCATGTTTCATGGTTTTCCACATTTAGTACATCAATTTTTTTTCGTCTCAGAGTCATACCTAAAATGTAAATTTTGGGACAGTTTCATACATCCGTTAGTCAAACTGTTAATTATCCCGTTAAGTGATGACGTGGCGCCCATGTGGACAATGACTGGGCGCCACGTGTCATTAAAAATATTAAAATATATTATTAAAAAAAAAACCAGAACGACGGACGGAATCCTACCAAGAAGGAAGCACCGCCTATTGACGCTGAGGTTGAGACACGAAATTTGGGTGGGTCTTCTGCCAGCTTTCGAGGTCCGGTCTTCGAGTCCAAGGAGGAAGATGAAGAGGACGAAAATCAGTGCTGCGGCAGCGAAGACTATGGAATTGAAATTTGCGAGGAAACAATTGTCGCCAATGTGACAGAAGACAAAGTTCCAGAAATAGTAGAGGAGGAGGACGAAGAATTTCAACCACCGCAACTAGTCCCGGAACAATTCGAAGAAGAGGACTTGAAGCCCATGAAAGATCATATAGATCTTGATCCACAAACGAAGAAACGAGACCTGAAGGAGATTGCGGGCAGCTTCGGTTTTCAGAAAAAATTACAGAAATTGAGGTAGAAGCAGAATAAACGGCGGAATGGCGGTGGATCGGCCACATTGCCGGTGGAGAAGCCAATCGGGAGACAATTCAGAGAAACCCAGTCGAAGATCACCGATTACAACTTCGACCGGCGCTCCTGCAACATGGATCCGAGGTTTTCGCTTGACGCGGGTCGGATGTCGCTCGACGCAGGTCGGATGTCGTTCAACGACCCGAGATACTCCTTTGACGAGCCTCGGGCCTCGTGGGACGGGTACCTCATCGGAAGGACGTTTCCGAGAATGCCCACGATGCTCTCAGTGGTGGATGACGCTCCGGTGGTCCACGTGGCTAGATGCGACCCTCAAATTCTGATTGAGGAGCTGCCCATGAATTCCATTGAGGATGAGACGGTTCCAGGCGGGTCGGCCCAAACCCGGGACTATTATTTGGACTCGTCGTCTCGCCTCAGGAAGAGCCTCGATCGGTCCAACTCCATTAGGAAGACTGCGGAGGTTGGGGGTTGGGTAGGTGCAGAAAAGAGAATGGAGAGAGGAGGGAGGGGGGGTCGGGGTGGGGAAGACGATAACGTTTTGTTTTTTGTTTTTTTATAATAATAATATTTTAATATTTTTAATGACACGTGGCGCCCCGTCATTGTCCACATGGGCACCACGTCATCACTTAACGGGAGAATTAACAGTTTGACTAACGGATGTATGAAACTGTCCTAAAATTTACACTTTAGGTATGACTCTGGGACGAAACAAAATTGATGTACTAAATGTTGAAAACCATGAAACATGAGGGTAGTAAACAGTCTTTTGCCCTTAAAAATATTATAATAATTTACCCTATTTAAAAAATAAAAAAATAAAAAAAAACAACCCATCTTCTTCCCCTAGCCCTTCCCCTTCTCTGCAATACAAACACCCTATCCCACCCCACCCCATTTCTCCCTTCTTGAAGGGGTGAGATAAATGGCGGAAAATTCATCCAGGAACTTGTTGTCGAACATGGCGACTCCCTTGCAGTAATAAATTATCGAGATTTTTTTGTGTGCTTGAAGATAGAGAGAGAGAGAGAGAGGGGTTGAGGTTTCGATATGGGTTTTTGATTGGATGGTCCGATTGAGATTTGGATCGGGTCGAAGTGATAGAAAGATGAACGGAGTTGGGAGGCAAGGGCAAAGATCTAGTGTGGCGGTGGTGCACCACCCGCGACAATACTCTAATAACTTCTTGGAGACTTCATCCAACGGGAGGTGGCTTCAGTCACCTGGTCTTCAACACCTTCAATTTTCCAACTCATATGGTCCTCCTCCTTAGGTATTTTTTTTGTTTTTCCAATCAAACCTATTCGAATTTAATCAAAATGTTGTACCAAATCTGATATTTGGGTAAATTGTAATCAACATTTATTGTTTTTTCCCTTGAATTTTTTAATTTTTTAAAACTTTTTTGGGTACATTCTGATCAGACCCAGGTGGGATTTTGACTAAAATGTTGAAGCTTTTGTAGATCTGATTGTATATTTTTGTATCTAAGATGTTTGATTGTTTGGCTTTTGTGGTTGAATTAAAAGCAGGACCATGGTTTCTATGGTGGAGGTGGAGGAGGACCACCTTCTAGAGTGTACCAGAATGCGCAGAGAGGGTACAATGAGTTTTACGTGGAGGCTCTGTCGACACCTCCCTACAATGCGATGAGGTCGCGGGTCTCGAGAGAACCAGAAGAGGAGGAGATAGGATGGAGGTGGGAGACGTCTTTAAGAGATCAGCGAAGAAGTCAGCGTCTTGAGGCTTCTTCGACGACATGCTGCGAGGAGAGGAGGTGTTGCAGACGGGATGAGAGAATGAGATGTTGCAGCCAGAGGAGAAGAGAAGCCTGGATTGGATTTTTTAGGGTTTAGGGTTCTGTCGACGATGGAGAAGGGGTGGGGAAAATGAAGAAATATTTTTTTTATTCTGATTAAATTATTATTTTTAAATGCATAGAAATTTTTTGGGTTAAACTCTGTTTACTGCCTCATGTTTCGTGGTTTTCAACATTTAGTACATCAAGTTTTTTTCGTCTTAGAGTCATACCGAAAGTGTTAATTTTGGGACAGTCTCATACATATGTTAGTCAAACTGTTAATTATCTTGTTAAGTGATGATGTGGCGCCCATGTGGACAATGACTAGGCACCACGTGTCATTAAAAATATTAAAATAAATAAATAAACAATAAACCCATCCCTCCCCCCCTAGAAGAAGAAGGAAAAAAAAATCTGCAATCCAAAAGAAGAAGAAGAAGAAAAAAAAAAACAAGAATCTACAACTTAGAAGAAGAATAAGAAAAAGGAAGATGAAGAAAAAAAAAATAGAAAAACCGAATCTGCAACCCAAAAGAAGAAGAATAAGGGATAGGTTTAGTGGGTTTGTGCATAAAAGAGAAGGGAGGGAGTGAGGGACGGATGGACGGGAGATGTAGAAGACAAACCCTCGACTGGGACGAAATAAATAAATAACCTCTCGAAGACTCTCATTCCAAACCCACTTCACCCTGTTTTATACATTTCAAATCAAAACCCAATTTCCTAATTCGAATAAACCCACGTAGTCATCTTCTTCTTCACCCAGATCAGCCATTTATGCCACAAAATCTTCTTCGCCGTCAACAACTCAACCACCATCTCCATCCTTCTTCCTTTCCTCCAAACCTAACTCCCTCAAACTACCCATTTTCCAATTCCTCCGTTGTCGTCCCCCAACTCAACAAAAACTCCAACTCCCACAAGCTTCTCGACCTTGCTATCACCATTGTGTTATCCGTCATCTCGTGATGGTCATCGACACATTATTCCTCTATTGTCACAGATGGAATAACATCCATAACTTCCCCATCGAGGATGAGGACGAGAAGTCGTGTATTAGATTCAAGCACATCAGTCTGTTCCATATGCCCAATTTCAGCCACTCATTTAGTGGGACCCACAAGCTTCTAAACTCAGGCATGAAGGCTGCACAATTGAAGCAGTCGGGTTAGAGTAGACCTGTGAGTGTGTTGTTGCATGGGGGAGATATTTTGATTTTTAGGAGTTTTAATTTTGCAAGGAAAGAATGAGGAATTGACGGGGTGGATGTTGCCCAGCTTCGTCACTTCACCATGGTTGACTGGATCCGAATTGGAACATGAGAAGGAACCGATGGGATTCTTTTAGGTGGAAAATTAGGGTTCGAAAAGGGCTGCTTCAATGGTGGGGGGTGGGTATCAGGGAAGGGGAATGTGGGGTTGTCGGCGCAGGGGGGGGACGAACTGGGTTTGGGCTGCTTTTTTTTATTCTTCTTCTTCTTCTTCTTTTTCTTATTCTGGGTTACATATTTGGTTTTTTTTTTCTTTTTTCTTCTTCTTCCTCCTCATCCTTCTTCTTCTTCTTCTTCTGGGTTGCAGATTCGGTTTTTCTATTTTTTTTTCTTTTTCTTCTTCTTCCTCCTCATCCTTCTTCTTCTTCTTCTTCTTCTTCTTCTTCTGGGTTGCAGATTCGGTTTTTCTATTTTTTTTTCTTTTTCTTCTTCTTATGGGTTGCAGATTCAAAGGGATGGATTTTTTTTTTAACTTTTATTTAATTAATTATTTTAATATTTTTAATGACACATGGCGCCCAGTCATTGTCCGCATGAGCGTCACATCATCATTTAATGGGATAATTAATAGTTTGACTAACGAATGTATAAGACTGTCCCAAAATTAACACTTTAGGTATGACTCTAGTACGAAAAAAAACTTGATATACTAAATGTTGAAAATCACGAAAGTAAACAGAGTTTAACCCAAATATTTTTGTCAAGTGACACAAATTTGGCAGCCACGTCAGCACAAATATGGATCTCATATTTCCACGTCATCACTTAACGGTTTACTTAACGGATGTATGAAATTGAAATAAAATGATAAAGAAATGTATGAAATTAAAATATTTTAAAGATGTTATAAGGAATTGAAATCGATTTCAAACTTAAGGGAGTAAAATGTAATTTACTAATAGAAAAAATATGAATTTTAGCCCAAATCACCCTTTAACTCTCCCCAGCCTGTTGAATTTGAATACCCACAAATGGGCTCATTTTTGCTCAATTAGACGGCCCAACAGTATCAATACACTTCTCGCTCTCTATCGCAACAACTCTCTATCTCTGTCTCTCTCTCCCCCACCTTCATCTCGCGGAAACTGAAAAATTCTCCGCGCTGTACCCGTTTTTCAAAAGTTTCTCCACGAAACGTAGAAAAAAACCACAGCGAAACGTTTTCTTCTTCAACTAATCAGCTGCCTGCACTGGTACAGTATCTTTCTCTCCCTCTTTCGAATAAAGTTTGAATTTTTATTAGTTCCTTGGGTGTTGAGGAATCTAGGGTTTTCTGCAATTGTTTGGTCTACTTGTTTTTAGGGTTTTGTGTTGCTTTGATTGAATTTGGGGTTAGAGAGTTGCTGGAAAAAAAAAAGAACAATTATTTGTTTGGGTTGTTTGGTAATGCTTTAGAATCTGTTTAAATTCGAGACGTTTAACATCAACATTGAAGTTTCTAATTGACCGAATAGTTGAAGGTTTTTATATTTTGGTTTCCCCAATTGCAACTTAATTTCTTGGTTTTTTTTATTATTAATTTTTGCTTAAAAAGGTGAACTTGTATGAAATTATGACTTAATCGTTATAGCTTATGTGGAATGAATTGGAAATTCTGTGGTATGTGCAGTGTGGAGCAGGGATAGTTTACTTTTTGGTTAGGAAATGAAGCGGAAGCGAAAGAACAAGAAAGGAAAGCCCAAAGGGTCTGTGGGGGGAGGAAATGAGGCGGTTTCAAGTGGGGCTATCGTAGATTTGGAGGATGGTACAAATATGGATGAAGATGGTAATTACGATAATAAGTATGAGTCTGGAATGGAAGTTGATACCCCTTCGTCTTCTGGAACTGATCAGCATATCAATCTTGCCAATATTAATCCTGATGGTTCAATTGATAGGGGGGTTGGGAAATCAGTGGGAAGAGTTAAAGTGAAGCTTAAGACTTCGAGAACAATGGATTCTCAGCCTACTTCATCAGATGCATACACACAAAGTGATACAGATAAAAGTGGCCAACAAGTTGGTTTGGAAAGACAAGGTCTGGTTTCTGAGAAAATGGAGGATAGTGACAATTCATTGCATGAAGTAAACGTTGGTGCTTCTGTGAACGCATCGAAGAAAACTGGGGGTATAAAGATTAAGTCATCAAAGGTGTTGGGGTCTAGTGTCAATCACAGTACTGATCCTGTTTCTGCACGGACTAAGAGTCCACATAAAAGAGAATCAAAGATGGCTGACCAAAGTTCTCGATACAATAAGCAAGAATTAAATACTGCACTGACGGTATGTTGAGAATTATGAAATAGATCGTATTTCTTTTGGGTCATGTAAACCTTTAATTTAGTGTCATCTGTTTCTGTTTCAAGTGTGCTTTTGTGTACGTACTTATATTTGTCTTCACTTATCACGTACACAGATAATAAAGAAGGTGATGAAAATGGATGCTTCTGAACCCTTTAATGTCCCTGTGAATCCTGAAGCTTTGGGAATACCTGTAAGTTTGATTGTCGTTTGTGCTCAATGTACATGCATGTTTTGGTCTTCAGAGCTAGAAGGTGAAAAATGCAAAGCATTAAGGGGAAAGGTGAAAAATCCTCAATAACACTCCTACAGTCCCTAAAAGAGAGAACTTCTGAAAATTCCTTGATAGGCAGTTTAAACTGAAGCTCACATTGTTACAAAATACATTATTCTCCTTAAATTACTAAATCCTATGAAGCACGGATACATTGGTCACCCATGTTTACAGAAACAAGGGAAACAGCTGCTCATGGTGCGTTGAATACCCATGTTTTTCACAAAGTATGCACTAATGAGAAGAGAAAAAAATTTGGTTGCTTTCAACAAATCTTATGTTAAATTGTTAATTTTTAGGAACTGTATCTCTTCTCTTCTATCAGGCATGTTCATTTTCCATGAAGTAGGCATTGTAAGCTTGTTCTGGTTTTTTATTCCTTTTAATTTTTGGGATATTGAGGGCTTTTCAGAGGGTTGTGTCACCAGATTCTGTTTCCTTGGCTGGATGCTACCTTATATTTGTTATGCCTGAGGCTTGATTCATTTGTATAGCCCATTGTTTTGCGTATGTGCTTTTTAATGGGATGTGATACAAGTGGGCCTGATGAGTTGGTCTTCAGAGCTAGAATCACGAAGTGATTTTATATGGATGTTTTCAAAGTGTAACCATGCTCCCTAATGTGCAAAGCATATGCATACTGAAAAGTCAGTTGATTTGATTTGACTTTGCTCTCGATTATTTGCTAGACTTCTATGTGCCTCAATTGGATGATGACAAGACCCCTACAAGTTCACGTTGTGACTCAAGTCCATCAAAAGTGCTTAGTTTCGAGGAACTATATTGATAAGATTATTGAATAGTTTATTTATCTTTGTTGCATGCGACTCTTGTCAGATACACATTGCACGTGGATTTGAGCTTGAACAATGCCTTTTCTTTTTTCTTGGTAGTTTTTTTTGTATGCTCCATTTCATCTCTTTGAGTTTTGATTTCGAATGTTATGCTATGAATGCTGCATCATACCCATTTTCTTTTCTTCATGCTTTTATTAATGGCATTGTGTTTTGTTTTGTGGGCGTGGGGTTTGTCTGGAATCAGGATTATTTTGATGTGATAGATACACCAATGGATTTTGGAACAATATGCAACAATCTTGAACAGGGTGGCAAGTATAATAATTCCGAGGATGTTTTCAGAGATGTTGAATATATTTGGAACAATTGTTATAAGTATAACAGTAAAGGTGACTACATTTTGGATCTTATGAGGCGGGTGAAAAAGAATTTCACTAAGTATTGGACTGCAGCTGGGTTGTATAATGGACAACCAAGAGGAACTAATGGTGAGGGTTTTACAGTTTTGCCTTTTCCCTTTGTTGATACTTTTTAATCTTCTTTTTCTGTCCTGAACTCGACAACCAACCTCCTTTTGGATGCTAATACCGTAGCCTTCTCTGGGAATTTACCTATTACCTACCCATATATTATTGCAAGATTACCAGAGTCATTGACCCCGGAAGTAATAAAGAACTACAAGATGCACTTAAAGGCAATGGTTGTGAAACCTTATGGAAAGAAGAGGATGTAAATAATGACTGCTCGTCGATTGGATATATGTGATATGACACTAATTGTAGGTTCATGTTTTGAACTGTAGTTTTTGAAAAGAATAATGTAAGAATTGAAAGTAATGTTTGCTGAAATGCCAAAGTATTTTATGCTGGATCTGAGAATTTATTAAAAATTAAGCAAATAGTTTGCTCTGAAAGTTTATATGTAGTTGATGGGTTTCTCTGCTTGTAATATGTAAAGTTATGCTCAGCTATTGACTCTGCTTCGGGTGGCTTCTCTGGTTGGTTTAGATTTTTGGAGTCCCTAGTGTCCATGTTTATGACAGCTACCTGAGTTTTGTTAATTATCTTCATGCTAGGTGTTGAAAGCCCTCAAGAGATAATGGCTCCATCTGATCAGGGAAAAGTACATGTTAAAGGTGGCCAATCAAAGCAGAAAACACGAAAAGGTCATGGGTATGTTTTTGCATTTAATCTGTGTTTTGTTCCTTGAAACTATCAATCAATATGATGTGCAGATTGTTCTGAGTGTAGTAATTTCGAGAAACTTCCTTTTAAGGTTTAGGGTTTGCACCTTCCTTACCAATATATGTAATTACACGTAAATGCTTTTTTTTTTTTTTTTTTTTTTTTTTTTTGGACAAGCAACAATACAGCGATTTATTAATAGGAACCAAAAATTACAAGAGGATTTATTAATGGCTTTTACACCAGCGAGCAATAGCCATTACAGTTGTTGGGCAGTAGGTTCTAAAGCTCATACCAGCATATATATGTCATAGTATAACTAACTAACTATGAGTCCCTTCTTAGCAGATAATTGGGCAAGGCTATAAAGCCGTGGTAAAAGGCTTTTCCCTTGCTACTTTGGATTACAGTGTTACACTAGTATTATGCAAAGGGATGTTTTATTTCCTGATGCTTACAACATCTGCTTTCTCATTCACCGTATTTATTTCGTGTCTCATTTTCTTATGGTCAATAAACAATGTTTTTTTTTTTTCTGTGCTGAGGAGCTTAGGTATGCCTTATATAATTTTCTGGTTCCATGTAATTCCGTTCATTTATTGCATTCTCAAAACCATGATGTTTTAATCAATTTGACATGTTTCTTGAGGTGGAGGGAATTTTTGGGTTCTGGGAAATTGTTATAGCGTATGCCTGGGTAAAGGCATGTTTCATATGATACATGTGAGTCAAAGTCAACCAAAACTGTCGTAGTTGCTTTTTCTTATAAATTGTGTGTGCAGGTACTGTATTCAAGATTGTTGTAGTATAGTAATTTTTATTCCTTTAATTTTTTGTAATGTAACATTTAGAAGTGAACATCACATCCCACAGTTCTCCCCATGCAATGAACACACAAACACAGATAAATTGCATGTAGTGTTGCAACTTCAAAATGATATTCAATTTGATCTCTAACTTTTATAGCGCGATACTAGAAAAAGGTTTTCTTATGTTTTGAGATTTCTTCCATTTTCAGAAGGCATCATAAAGCGGATTGCTTATGTGCTATCTGTGTTCTAAAGCGCCGTAGAAGGGAGCGTGAGGAGAATGATCAAATTGCAAAGGGCCATGGAGCTAGTGATAATAGTCTTGCTCAAGAACTCAAGCAAGAGGTAAATTGGAAGTTTTAGCCAATGGATCCATCCAGAAAATGATTATTAAAGTGGGTTTTCCCTTTGAATTCCTGCAATCAGATGCATTGCTAAGTATGTAATTAAGTAAATTAGTAAATACATAAAAACTATATGAGGAATTTTAAGAGATGTCATGAACTAGTAAAATCTTTGCTAATTCACCATTAGCTCTTTATTTCACATATAAAAATTTAAATTGCAATTTTCATTCAGTGTTTATTTTTACAGATCTGATCTGCTCTTTGGAGGGTGTTTTCATTTGTATACAAGTATTGAAATTAGGAAGAGTAACAGGAATTCGAAATTGGAATTTTCTTAACTGTAATTTTTCATGAGAATAGTAGTATAACCAGTTGATTTAATATTGATTGGAGCATCTTGTGCCATACACAAATGAATATTAAGAGATAGAGAAGCAACTATTGGCTTTTTTTTTTTCATGCTTAGGGAGTATTTCTAGGAGGACGAGCGCATTGATATTTGAGTATTGTCTTTTTGCCTTTCCTTTAAAGGCTTGTTGCATACTGTAAGTGCAGGGTGAACCCATAGCTAGTTTGTGGGTTTTTTTTTCCTTCTTTTGTCATTGGTTTGAACCCAGTTTCAGAAACTTAACTAACCTTGAAGTTGTTGAGTTCTCTAGTTCTCTCTTTTATTGAAAACGTCTCATCACAGCCACATGACCAAAATGATTAGACAGAAGGGTATGGAAATTTGAGTTTGTTAGCTTTTTGTGTAAATTTTACATTAGTCAATTGGTTGGTAACCTGCCTCTTCCTACTTGGAGTCCATCCCTGATGATTTATTAGGCTAAAGTACTATGTGATGTGCAAGTTTTAGCATGGATGGCTCAAGGGACAGTGGATACCTGTGACCTATTGAAAAGAAGAGGCCTAATATTAGCTCATCACCTTTTTGGTGCATTTCGATAGAGCTGTAAACGTTGATCGTCATTTTTCTTAATTTTCCCATTGCCTTGGGGTTGTAGTGTGTGTTATTTTGAAAGCAAGGTGTTGTGTGATTACCCCTTAATACGTATCTCCCATCACCAATAATTATACTTGAGGTTTTACATTACAAAGGACTGCCTTGGACAGTAGCCTTTTACTTGTGAAAAGAGACATTTGATAGTTAAATTGCAAACTTGGTTGATGTAAGTTCTTATTATCTATTATTGATTTATTTATTTTCATTATTGCTACTGCTGCTGGTGGTAATACTACTATTATTATTAGATGATTATTAATTTATTACTTTTGAATCATCTCTCTTTAGGAATCTTCACTTGCGGAAAGTCCGGGTGGGAATTCATCTTCGGATATGGATGGATCATTGGAACCCAATGCAGATGTGGAGGTAGAAGAAAAAGGAGAGGATGCGAAAATGGGGGTATCCAAGCAGCAGTATGGTCCTTCAGGGGAGAAGCACGAGGAGGAGGATGATGATGATGAGGGGAATGAGGAAGAAGATAGTGACACAGAGATGAAAGATGAGGATAATGGTGAAGCACTAGAGCAGTTTGAGAAATCAAGAGAAGAGCCTAATAAACAATTGCAACCAATAACAGCAGAGGTTTCCGCAGAGTCCAAACAGATGCAAACAAAGATAATACATCGATGCAGCAGGAGGAAGGACTTGTAGCAGATAAACAACCTAAGGTATAATATTTTGCTTTCTTTGGCATCACCCATGTTTGAAAAATCTTTTCGTAAATAGCATCCAGATATTACAGAACCCTCACCTGTCTTCATACCAATAGAAAGGAGATACACTTCAAATTATTATTTATCTTCTTACTTAAGTAGGCAACCGGATATATCAGGAGATATAATGGTTGGCGTCCTGGTTGAACATATATTTAACAACAATGCAAAAGAATTTCTCTATCAAGTAACAGAATCGAGGTCACAATGGATACACATTGTTTTCTTTTCTGTATTTGTTTTAACTGTCTTTATGTCTAAACTGCAAAAGGAGCACGTTTTAATCTTTATATATTTATGAGGTTTGAAATTTGCATTTGAAACTTTATTCAATTTCGAAGGTGCATCTGAAAATTACTCACTCATTGGCCTAATTCAGTCGCAGGAATCGCAAGAAAGGAGGCATAAGAAAGTTAAAGCATATGAAAGTCTGCAATTTGAGAATCCCATGCTTTTGGATCTATGTGGGACTCTCTTCCCTAACAATAGTAAGTCTATCTGGAGTGGACCCCATTCGCTGGTTCAACATCGCAGTTCTCGTACCAGTTCCATTCACGCAGCTATTAACATGCTCATGAAGTAGGTCCTATCTTTTGGGCATATGAGGTAACTGAACATATCTCGGTACATGCATGCTTGTGTAATCCAGTGTTTAGATGTTACTGATGCATAATGGAAAATCGAGCAATAGGATGGAAACTCAGCTACAAATGTTCTAGATAGTAGTCTTCCAGTTCCAGTCATTCTCTACTTTCTTTTTAATTGTGTTTGGGAAGTAATAGCTTGAGATTTTCCGATTGCATACTGGTCAGTCTTGGTCGAAACCCAAGGACAAGCCAGAGACCTAATACGTTATTTACAAATGATGCAGCAGCAAGAGATTCTAAATTGGCTCTCTTAGGAGAATATGGAAATCTTATATCCATTGTATGTATAGTTATCTGACATCGTTTGGCACTCTATGAATGTGAGGCAAAACTCGTGCCTGTGGTTGTTTAATCCTGTCGAATTGTGGCGAGTGGTGCTAGTAAAGTCTTGAAGTAGAACCGGATTTTTTTTATTTTAGTTTCCGAGGAGAGGAGATTCGAACTTTGGATCTCTTTCAATGACTAATGTTGTGTATGACTGGTGTACTATTTTCATAATAAGTATTTTTGTAATGTGAATGTTTGGAGTTGGCTGTCAGGGCTCAAGAGGATCGTTGTGTACGACTTTACCAGGCCATTTTGTTTTTGATACAAGCAATGGTTCATACTAAGTTAATTTAAACTAGGAGAGTTAGGTCTTCGGTCATATCCGAATCCATGGAGGTAACAATTATTGAGCTGGTGATTTTTGGTTTAGTCTGTTTTCAACATGTACTAGTGTCATCTCACAAGGCTTGGAAAACGGGTTGTGTTTGTATGATTTTTGGATCATACAACAAGTTGTGCAATAACATTACGATCTAGTGATATTCCTCTTCACTTGGAAGTGATAGGTCTTAAGTATGATTCTCGTTAAAAACGAATTTGAACTACATCATTGTTAGTCAATTGTGAGATTAAATTCATCTTCTCTTCTTAGCGGAAATAATATCGTTTGTGATAAAAAAAATACAAGTCGTGGAATAAATGGTCAAGCCTAATCACATCCCACGTTTGGTACTCCGGAAAAAGGAGCTATTAGTATCGGCAACGAGGCAAACCTTAATACGGGAATAAAACAGTGTACGTGGAATCCGCTATCGATCTCTAACCATCAACTTGACATCTACTATTAAAAAATGCTTGTGTTTATGAACTTTCTGAGAAATTTGGGTCGACAATGTCTGCGCGGTAGGCTTGAAAAATTGGCGACGAGTATAACCCTGAAATTTGAATCAACAATATCTACTGCAGGACATCATAGGCTTTGGTGCATTCGCGCACTAGTCCGATGAACTGGTGCACATATAGAACGCTTGCCCTCCATGCAACCCCCCGAAGACACACCTTCTCTAAGATTCCACAGAAGTCCACCGCAAGCATCTGACAGAGTAGCCGTGTTCATCTCATGGCAAATCGTACTTCACTTGTCCAAGGTACAGACCACAGGCAGGTGCCATGGGACTAGCGGCAGTCACCGTCTTTGCATTCAAGATCCTCTCGACTGTAAATTTCATTTTGTTTAGGAAAGAAAAAAAAGGGTTAGCTCATTACAAGAGTAGGATCAAATTACGAAGGACAAAAAACATGGAAGAATCGATGCTGCCCACCATCAGGTACTTTTAAATCTCCAGTGCCAACGCATTTGAGTACACCAACAAGCAGTCTAACCTGCATAAATCTCAACAGCCTCAGTAAACAGGTTGTAAACCGCTTGAACTGGAGGTAGATAGACTATAATTAGACTCCAAGATGAATTTCCAATCAATTTTCGGTACAACTCTCAGTTTCGGTTGGCATCATTTGAAAAAAAAAAAAACTAATAAATTACCCAAAATATAAGTGTGGTAGAAATTAAACGATTCTGTAGAACTCATGACACAGTGCTAAATAAAGAGGGCACAACGCATTTATACAAGAGATTTACAAAATAAAATTTTGAAAACTCATAAAGGACAACAAAAATTTCAAGTACTACGTATAATGCAAATAAATCCCTGTTAATTATGTCCAAATTCGCTAATGAGAGATTTGTTAAGTTATTTTTACGGGGGATGGTGGTATTGTCATTAGGGACGGGAACACTGAAATACTTTTAGGCTAGCAAAGTACACACCCAAAAGTAACCAAAAACAGTGCAAACTCGAGAAACGTTACCCTCTCCCTATGAACAGGAATCAAGATAACATAAACAGCAGGTGTGAATGAAAAAAAAACACAAGAAAAATTACGTTTAGGAACAAGAAGAAAGCATACAACACATACAAGAAAAAATAAGCAAGACGTTTAGGAAGAAGAAACTCAACCTGGTGGTATAGAAAAGAACGTGCTCGTGCGGTTACCACAAAGCAACGGTGCTTTTTTCTCACACCAAATCCTTGTCCTTCATTGAAACTAGAGGGTGTATCAGTCTCTAATTTGTTAGTGTGGGCATGAGGATCTTCCTCCACTAAATTGTTTTGTTTCCTCTCCATTATTGATGGAAAACAAGGACTTGACACTACCTCAGAAACATTAAGTTCATCCAAAGTTCTGATCGGCGACTTTGCCTATAAATAACATAAGTTAAAAACATTAGTCTTTTCCTTATATTTCGAGACATCAAACACATACAACACATACAGGAAATAAAAGGAAAGAATATACAAGAGAAGCTAGAATGAGTATGCTATGGTATAATGTCAATAGTAAAGCATACAACAGTTCGAAATATCTTCCTAATTACGTAAGTTCAGAACCTGTTGAAATATCTTCCTAGTACTTAGTAAATACGGAAAGTGTAGTACATAAAAAATAAGTACAAGTATTATTCCGCAACTTTACTAAAAAAATAATTTGAAAAATTTGGCCATTTGTTTTAATTTTAATATTTTATTTATTAAAAATATTCATTTATTTTTAATACTTCAATACCATATTACACACAAAACATATGTACGTACGTGTCTAATACTTTGGAGTTATAAAAAAGTTGAATTTTATGAATCATTAAAACGTGTACGGAAAACGGAAGTAATTTTTAAAAATACGTACTTACATGTATAATAAGCGTATTATATGTGAATTTACTAACTATGTCACATAAAAGTTCTTGCCAACGTTTTGGTGAACTTTAACTCACAGATGCTTCCTCAATCTGAATGAAGGTTAAGGAAAGGAATATCTCAAGAGACATTGGATACCAAAGACCATAAAGAGACGGGAATTTCACAGATGCTTCATCAACCAATAAAGATACATCTCATCATATACTTTTTTTTTTTTTTGTAGAAAAGAGACAAAAACCTCATAGTATAATATCAGCAAGCAAACAAGGGGAAGTACATTAAATCCCAACTAATTAGGAGGTAAGGAACAACCTGACAACCTGCTGCCCTAAAGGAACTAAAATCATGATGTCCAACCAGAACCTTGCATGCTTCCTACATCAATTTGAATCAAGGAGATTGCATTAGACGAAAAATTAATGACCAGATATATTTAGAGCAAACATAATATTTGCCAAAACTGCAAAGGAACCTGCATAGAGCAAAGATCCAGCTCCTCAGGTACATGCCATGCCCGGTCTTTTTCAAAAGTTGACAAAGGCTCTGGTCCGGACAGAAAACGGTAGAAGTACCTGAGGAAATTTCAACGAAGCCAACAAAAGAAATTCATGTATGGTCCCTGAATTTCAGGCCTAACTACATCATTATTCAGACACAATCCAAAACAATACTGCTATGTTATATATTTTAAACAAAATTAGCTTACTGTAACTCAACCATTGAAAGGTTATGATCCATTATACAGAAGTTTATCTGGTCATACCACCATACTATGTAAAATGGCAGATAGCTGCAATCTAGTTTACATTTGCCAGACTAACTTGATTATTCTACAAGTCAAGTAAGCATGGAAAAATATGCATGCATACCATTAATAACATATATGAGTCCCCAGACATAACTTAAGGTTGCAGTTGTTTTACATAATTCCAGATTCATGAGTACCTACGTGCGCTCTTGGGCTTTATATCGAGCATGAAAATTAGCTGGAACACTTCGAACATCTATCACCATTACGTCACCTTCATTCTTCTGATGGAACAAAAATGAAGTGTCAGGATCTCCTCATTAAAACAAAACTATAAAGTATATATTGGCTATGGTTTCAAATCCGCAATTCCAGATATACAGTCAAACTAAGTCTCCATCTGATATTTTTGTGATTCAAACAATCAAAAGAAAGCACACCTGTAAGAAATGATTCACAGCTTTTTTGACCACTGCAGATTCATGGGGTTCTAACTGCATTTCAACAAAATAAAAGTAACTTTTATATCAACCAGAACCGTTCAAATATGAGGGTGCCTCTGTGTATGCATGCAAAAAAATGACCCTCTACCCACGCTGAATACCAAAATAGGGCTATTAAAAGACAACAGTTATCACCGACGCACTTCTTTAACTAAAACTCCTTGAAGTTTAAGTGTGACTCAAAGGCCTAGTCTTTAGCTTCAGAATGTGATGTTTCTTAACGGATTGATAAACATCAAATTTAACTGCAGCATTTCGCTTCGCTTGTCCCGTCAATTATATGCAGTGCATCACTATTATAACATATTAAGTTTTAAATGACATACCACTTCGCCAGGCTTCCTTTTGCTAATGCGCTCAACATCTACATGACAAACATTCGACAAGGCATGGACTCCAGCATCCTACAACAGTAAAAAGAATACACCCACCGCATCTCCCTGTTAATATAACGCTTGCTGGAAAATAGAGACGACAAAGTGACACTTAATAATCTTAATCTTATACTTTTTTACGAGATAACAATTAGAAGAAAACCAGCAATAGTAAATTCCAAACACAACCAAGTCCCAAGTAGACTTACAGTTCGACTTGAACAGAATATCGAAACCGGCTGCCCAATAAATTTACGAAATGCCTCCTACAAAAATCAAAAGATCAATTAACCAACCACTTGATTTGCAGCAAAATTAGCATTTCGAATTGAAGAAATTGAGGTTCCACCATAAAACCAATTGGCAATATGGGGAGTAGCTCAATCTCTTATAAGCTCATGCAAGGTCCCCCTCCCATCAACGAGGGACTAATTGTCAACAGTGTGGCGAAATGTCAAGCCTAGGACAACACAACAAGATGACGTAGAGTGCGTGTGGCCGTTTGGCTTCACACGTGGGACAACTTGCTCTAATATCATGAAAAAATTAAGATTCTACCATAAAACCAAGTAGCAATATCTTCATAGCCCAACCTCTTATAAGCTCATGCAAGGTCCCTCCTCCTATCAACGTGAAACTAATTCTCAATACGAATAATACATAAATTGCAACGATCCCATGACGAAGCGGAGGAAATGAAAGGACAATACAACTTCAAAGGTAATGAAATTCTCATTGGTAACGAAAAAAGATTGAGCATTTATCATTCAATCTCAAATTCCACAGATATCACCTCAAGAACGCCAACAACTGTGCGGCAATTGGACTGCTGCTGCGAGCCCGAAAAGCGAGTACCAATGTACTCGATTGCCAGAAGATATCGCTGGATTCCAGGGTGTTGGCTCATCGATTGCAGTTGCTGAGACTCCTCGCTGAGATCGTCGGCGGTTTTGAAAATCTTTGAAGGCCTTTGGGGAGATTGGGAGTTGCTGATGCTATCTAGTTTGAGTGGGTGCTTAAGATTTTCTGACATTGGACTCTACAGTTTTTGGGGTGCAAAGTTTTGAACTTTGGGAAATCAGGGTTTAACGGCAGCCATTGTTTGAATGCAGGGTTGTACCCGAAACCCGACCCGCGTTTCATATGCACTCTAAAAAATGATGGAAATTGAATTGATAGAGAATTTATTTTCTATAATTTGGGAATTTTCTTGTTTGGTTAACCTAAAAGAACAATGAAATTGAATACGAAATTTGTTATTTGTAAGCTCTCAATCATATAAATTGGGAAATGACACCTATTTACATGAAATTTAAACTGAGAATTGGAGGTCCCAAATTTCAAGTTTTTTCCACGCGGAAATTCTAAATTCTTATGTTTATGAGTCCAAATAAGAGAATTGATGCATGTCAATTACAAATTCTGATTTTTATCCAAATTTCAAGTTTATTTCCTTTATCCAAACAGTGTAAAAAAGTATCAAGACAAACTTACATATTGTAGTTGGAGGCAGATTATTTGTCCTCCTGTTTGGTGATTTGAACCGTTTGCTTTATAAATCTTCTTTAATGGTTATCTTTACTAAAATTCATCCAAATCGAAAAGATGTTTTTTTTTCTTTTATCTAATTGTAACATAGAACAAAGACAAGAACAGTGTCATCGGACTACAAATAAATGATTAGGTCAATGATCAAATGGCTAAATGATTCTCAATTTGACTATAGTTAACTTTAATTAAGTTTGACTCTCGTAAAGATTTATTATAATATTCATAACATTGCTGAGCTAAATCAAATGGTGGAGTCTCCAATCACTTGAGCTAAATCAAATGGTGGAGTCTTCAATCAATTGAGTTGTATATGCTTTGCCAAATGGTGGAGTCTTCAATCACTTGAATTATAACTGAACTAAATTTTCTATTTCATAAAGACTAAATTAAGGATAATACTTGCATTCCTCTATAGGGGATGAGCTCATTTTCCACTTAAAAAATAACGTAGCTGAATAAAGTTGAAATTCCATTATAAAATCAATTGACAATTTGCAAGTTGCTCAATTGCTTATAAACCCATGCAAGTCCCTTGTTTCCGGATGAGAATCCTCTCCAAATCATCTTAATGAGGATCTAGGGATCGTCACATCCTAATCACTCATTACACATCGTGCAACCAATTTTCGTTAAATACTATTTGTGTTTAATTTTAAATAGAAAAATTCAAATAATCTAACGATGAATGACTTAGGATGTGAGAATCCTTAAGATCCTCATAATTTGGATCCGAATGGGATCCAAATCCCTTTTTTCCCAGAAAAAAAAAAAAAGTGTTTAATATTGATGCCCGTATTATTAATTTCTCCTCTTAGTTCCTGAAGCCTTCGGTCTCATGGCCGTTTCCGTAAATTCTGGTGGCATTTCAGCAAGGAGATATCCAACTCGGGGGATCCTCAGGCGGAGCAGTCGGAGCTCTTAACAGCTTCTTCCATACAAGCAACTTGGCACTGCCGTCAGGCACGGAGAGCCTTTGCCAATTTAGCGAGGGTCGTAGCCACAGAAGGTATTACTACAACCAGCCTTGATACCATGGAATAAATGTAACTCAATTGCATGATGCGTAAAGGGGGTTTCTTGTTTCCGAATGTAAAAAGGTCATATCACAAAGTTACACGAAAATATAATGTAATGAACGGTTGTAATTCTAAATAACACTGAAGGTTTTTTGTGATAAAACGTCACATATGTCTAATATGTTGCAAGATGCAATTGGAGATAACAAAATGACTGAAAAACAACACAAACTGTTTATTGAAAAATCAATCTTTCGATTTAGAGCGAAAAGACAAACATTGACTTGTAAGACAACTTGTTCACATGAAATTCAAAACTCACCCGCTAAATAACCCAAGCACAAAAACTAAACTCACAAACCAGCTTTGATAGAAAAATTGAAAAAAAAAATATATAGCTAGAATTAAAAGGAAAACAAAAAAAAAAGATGATAAGAATCAAAACCTTCTGGACCTAAGGCCATGTGTATAACTCAACATGCCTTATTGTAGCATCGCTGTCATCACGGGCAGGCGTCGATGGATAGATTTTTCGTGAGCGAGATGAGAGAACCCATCCTCATCCCACCTGATTCGACATCAATGTTTCTCCCTCCACCATTCATATGCTTCTGCAAAATGTGGTTAGTGGTGGGGGGGTTAGACCAAAATTAATTAACCGAAAGTTTTCTGCACAAATGTCACGATTAATGAAAACAAACGAAAGTGAGCATTTGCTTGTTTTTTTTTTTTTTTTTCATTTACTTTATGTCGAGTGTCACCAAAGCATCGTTAAGTTCAGGGAAATCATATATCTACAAGTACAATATGTAATAGAATACCATACAGATGAAAATAGTCATTTGAAAGCACAGCTCGTAAACTCAATAGAGTAGATGTCCTGCTAAAATGCATTACACAAAGAAATGAAAACTTACAGTGATATCACCATTATCATAATTTTCCATTTTCAAAGTTGCCGGTTTATTGCTCCTTTTGGCTTGCAGAGACTTCTCCCGATTTTCATAGAACGTAAAGTCATCTAGCAAAGACGTTTTGGCTGTGTAACTTTTAAAAATGTTCAGCATTTCCAAACCTTGCTTGAGGCCAATCTGGAAATTATAATACAAGTTAAAACAGTCTTAATACAATCATGCCATAACAATGAAACAGAGAACATCCATCAGAGCAAACAAGGAAAACGAGGTTGTAATGTTTCAAGGAAAAACACTGCTGCCAATGAGATAAAAAATAAATATAGTACCTCCTGAGTGTCCCGGGTAAAAGTTACTGGTCTGTTGTCATTGTTTTCAAGGATAATGTGCCGCAACTTAGAGTTCGGTATGTCCTTTATTACATGCCACTTTACTGGGAAGAACCCACTCCACTTGTCAACTTGCCAGAAATCCATATCTTTATTAAAATCTACCCGTCCAATCATCTCAGCTACACCAACAAACTGTCCACTTCCGTTTACCTGAGAACAATAATAAAAGTTCAATCTCAAATGCAAGACCGGGAAATGAGACACTCTATAGCCCAAAAATCAAGAGAAATTGCATATATCAAACTCACCGAGAAGAAGAGGAAGATGGGACACTGAGTGCTGGTCTCCCTCAATTTCAATTCCACATCATGAAATGATGCATCTAGTTTCTTATTGCCGTTGGGAGTGCTGGCCCAAACATCATATTTAATGGACTTATGGACATCGTCTTCACTGTAAGACTTGATGACATAAAACTTCGCTTTTTCATAATCAGTCTGAAAATCTGGCAAGTTATATTTCTCTCTACGGACACTAATTCCTAGTTCTTCCTTCTCAATTGGTGAGTCTAATGGAGAAATCTTGTTGTGGGACCTTGGACCACGTGTCAACTCAGCTGAGGATTCAAAATCTTCATTCCTGTTATATTTTTCCCTCGACTTGAAACTATCATTTCCATTAGATTTGTAGTATGTTTGACCAGTGGGAGGAAACAAACCATATTTCTGGTTGGTAAATGATGAGAATCTTCCAGCTGGTGGGTATCCCTTCAAAACACCCGCTGAGAAATCATTACCCAGATGAGGAATCTGTGGATTTAAATTTATACCAAAAATTAGAAGGTTCTGGTTATATATCAGCAAATAAATTTGGAAGTTACTGAATCAAAGTTGCAGAAATTTTGTTCCAAACCTTGTTTAATGACTTGCTAGGTTGTGTAGGGAGAGGCTTGGAAAACTTGGTTGGGCCATGGGCTTTAGTCGATATAAAACCATTTGACCTAGATAAAGCAGTTGATGCATGTCCAGCCTTTACATTTCCAAAACCAGCATTTCCTGCAGTCGAGACGTTTCCACCGAATGTTGTGTCCCAGGAATAACAAGACGCAGCTTCTGATCCATATGAAACAGGTGGTTGCATATATCCTGAGGAAGGATAATACTGTTGTTGGCCAACACCTTGCCCGTCCACTCCCATCAGAGTTCCTGGGGCATAGGGGTTATAGCTGGGAAGGAAATACACCATTGAACCATTGTCTGACTGCGCACCCTGGAACAGTCATTAAGAAAAAGAAGCAATTGCATGCACAATTAGAAATGATCACATTCATGAATAAATTATGCACCCAAGACCCAATTGAAACAGCTAAAAGATGAACATACCGTATGTGAACCATTACCGTGCAAATAACCGTGATCATCCATCTGCGTAAACGATCCAGTATATCCTGCGCCCCCAAGAAATCCAAAATTTGAGTACTAAAATGAATCTGCGTCGCAGAAATAACATGTACTTTGACTAAAGCACAGTTTAGACAAACCAAACTACATTAAGCACTCTTCTAGAAGTGTATTCACGTCTTTTATTCCAAATTTGACACAGAGTTTCATCTTTTTGATGATAAATACAGCTTTAGTATCTCAACAACATAATCCTTATTGCACTTTTCACGATGGATTTCATGTTTGAACTGTATACGCATGCTAATTGCCTAGTTGCAATCCTTACAAATAGGTAGATGGATTGCATAACACCTAAACCTTTAGTAACAGCAGCAAAGTTTTCATTGAAAAAACAAATTGTATTGCTCAATGGGAATCACCACTCAAAAATAATCATATTACAATAAGACTAAACGTGCAAAAGATGATAATAAAGATCTTATGTTGCTTATGCACCTAAGTAAATTAAATGCTTTAGTAGAACTGTATTACATAAATAAACTATGGACAGTCAGACCAAACACAAAGAACCATTTTGACATCTAACCTGGGTAATAATAATTGTAACAGCTAGTAGGTGGATAGTAAGCACCATGCTCTCCAACTGAGACTTGATCGGTCTCACTTTTGATGCTAGAGGTGACATCCAATAAAGGAGACATTGACTTTGAATCAGATGGTATTCCGTCTTTCCCAGAAACCTGCAAGAGAAATACATAGAGAAGAACAGAAATGAGAATATTATAGTCAAGGCCGAACCTAACATTATCTAAAACACAACCCATGTCCAAATATAAACATCACAACTTGCAATCTAAAAAAATTCAAAACTTTAAGGATACAATAAAAAACACATGCAACATTGGTATTGGAATACAAAATCCAATCAATCAAGAAACAATCAACATGGCTACAATTAAAGGACAGGGAGGGGGCAGAAAGCAGGGACAGATACAGAAAAAATGAAACATCTGGTAAAGAAAGGATTTACATACCACTTCTTGCTCACTCAATCCAGTAACAGGATCTGCCTTCAATACAGTGGATACAGGCTCTACTGGAAACAGATAGTCAAGAAAAACATCAGATGTTTGCCCATCCAAAATAAAATTTTCCATTAATTACGCAAAAATTGATATCAATTAGGTCAATCATATTAAATAGAACTTCAAGCAAATCATTAGATAGATGCATAAACTGTAGCAAAACGAAATCATGATATTTTAGCAAGGAGAATTTCACTGCAACACAACAATTCATGGAATTTTCTACCATGAAAGCACATATCTACGGCTTCCGAAAATTATTTACCCCCAACACTTAATTCAATCATTTAAAACAAACCCAAAAATTATTTAACCTAAAAACCCTGCAAATATGATTGTCTACTAAAACTTGAAACAAATTCCACAAAGACTAAGAGTTAGTCAACAATTACCTTTCTCAATTTTCTTTTCGCCCGCCATTACCAATCCTTAAAACCCAATTCAACCTGGAACTGAACAACAAAGAAGGAAAAAAATAGGAGGAAAACAGGGGTCAGTAAGATGTAATAGCACTATTATCCTCCTAGGGTTTATAAGCCTCACAGCAGTGTGACCCTAACTGGTAAACTTTCAAAATTAAATAAATATAGGAATTCTAATTAAAAATTCACCATGAACTTAACCCTTAAGTTATCTTTTTTTTTTAACAAAATTTGACCAGTTTCAGAAGAGATTTAAAAAATAAGAGGGGCAACTTATGCAACAGGCGTACATTAGCAAATCCATGAAATTAGGTCGTGAAAAAGATTCGATTTTTCCCTTGGAAAACACTAGATTCCATTTTCCCTTCTGATAGGGACATCTGGGTCATCTTCCTTTTTTCTAAAAAAAAATTGAAAGCTTCACCAAAAATAAATTAAAAAAATATAAGAAGCGGAAAAATATGAGGACAAATTAATCAGACTTTTCAAAAAGAAATCTCAACCCTGAGATATTTTTCAAACCCATTAGGAAATCTTCTTCCGCAAGATTTGTTGATTTGATGAAATCAATGCAAGAAAAGAAGAGGAAATTTTCAAATTTTGAATTTTAAAATTGAAAAACTCGTTTCCTTTTTTTTCCCAAGAAAATCCCTCTGGCTTCAACGATACTACAAGCAGAAAAATCCAAACAAAAATATACCAAACTAGGAACAAAGAACAATTTCAAAAATAAAAAATAAAAAATTAGAAGCAGAAAAGGGGATTCATAATCGATTTTCATGTAAGACGCAAGAACTGAAACAGTAAAAGTTGAAATTTTAATTTAATTTTCATACAAAAAACAAGAAACTTCTACCAATCAAAACAGCGTACGAAAGCGTTTCGAAGAACCAAAAATTTGATTTAAATGAACAAAAAACGTAAAAAGTGAAAAGAGAAACGCACCTAAGAAGCGCGGATCGAAACGAGTGAGGCCGATCTGCTGCGATAAAAGGAAGAACCGCTTCTGCGATTCGAATTCTAGAGAGAGAGAGAGAAAGCGACAGAGAGAGAGAGAGAGGAGAGAGAGGAGAGTGAGACGAGTGTGCGACTGTAGAAGAAGAAGTGGGAGGGGAACCGGCACTGACGCACTGTGTGGTGTAAGCCCTTAAGAAATAAAGGAATGATCGGAGGGTCACGATTAGTTCCTAGTTTTTTGAAGAAGGTTTTGGAGCCGTTGGATTAGTGTGGTAAAAAAAGCGGGTGCCGACGTTTTGGGAAGGGCATTCTCATTAATTTCCCGTTGTTTGTTCGTTTGGAGGGATTTGAAAATTTTGTCACTTCGGGTCGGTTTTATGTTTTTTTATGATTTGTTTTGCTCGTTGTCCGCCGCTCCGTTTTTAGCAAATAGTTTGAAGACATGACTTTTCACGGTGGCATTTTAAACCTCGTTTAAAAGTATTTTTAAAATGATTAAAAAAATTATTAGTTTAAATATTTTTTAAATCAATTTATTTAGTAATAAGTCGAAAGAACACTGAAAAAAATACTATAAATGTTTCATGCAAGCACTTAATGTATTGTTGGAACTTAAAATCAATTTCATCAAAAAAACTTTTATTTATTTTAAAAGTACTTCTAAACGAATACTTAGTGTTAGTTAATTGTATTTTTTTTTAATTTCAATGTATGATACACGTACTTTTAACGTTTCATACAAATTAGATTGGGGGGGAGGATGGTTGTTTGGATTTGAAAAACATGACACGAAAATAACAAGAGTGGAAAAATACGGGAATAAAGACAATATAAAATGGCAATAAATGTCAGAAAAACAACCATGACTCTCTAATAGCAAACAAGACGACGTTTGTTGGTGGAGCACAAGAAGGTGGGAGTTTTTTTTTTTCTGTTATGTTATGTTATGTTTTTTTTTTTTTTAATAAATGGTATTATCTACATTAAGAGAGAATGGGTGAGTTTAGTCTCATAATGAGCTAGCAATAATGTGGTTCAAATTCGCCTTTGGTAAGAATCAAACATAAAACCTCTTATTTACAAGTGAAGAAGAATACTATTAGACCGTAGCTAAGTGGCAAGAAGGTGGGAGGTTTAGAGGGGAATGAGGAGTTTATTTCTCTCTAACCCCTAAAGAGAGAAGTTCTCACTTTTCCACATCTTTCGACTTTATTTTCTGTGTTTATTTTGCTTATTTCATATATGTCGATGGACACATATTCTTTCACTTAATCTCGTGTCACTTAATACTACAGTTTAATAATATTTCTCTTCACTTATCAGTGAGAGATTTCTCAATGTTATCGTGCCTCCCTTCGTTCTAGTTGAATCTCTAACAAAAACTCTCTCCCATTATCTGACTAATATCAGTACAAAAAATAAACAGGGAGATCCATCACTTTCGTTCTAGTTGAATCTCTAACAAAAACTCTCTCCCATTTTATCTAAATTTATAACAAAATAAGAATGTGACAGAGAATGGATCATATTAAATATGTCAACTATATGCTATAATATGATACAAGAGAGTGGCCCATTAAGTTTGCATGCTCTTAGTTGCCCAACTACAATTACACAATATTTAGGCCTGAAAAGGCCCAACTTTATCATCCTCCATAACACTATTATCCTTCTCTCAAATATGCTTGATTTGCCTAGCAAATCCCCTTCATAAATCAAAAGAAAGAACCTACTTTTCACATATAGCACGGCTAGCTTCAACAAAATCAAGCCACTCTAAGACCATATATATATAGTCGGCTTGCTTTGAATATATAGGAGCTATAGCTATAGCCATATATATATATTAATTAAACTCCAAAAAAAGATGGAGAAAAAAAAACATGTTCGTTTCTTATTTATTAAACCAAAGTATCTTGTTTGAACTTGGGACATTTTCCGTCTTTATCGACATTCTCGAAGTTTTGGGAAGTGGCTAAGGACGAGGACGACTGAAAGGATTCGGGAGAGTGACGAGGAAACTCTGATAGCATCTGAACGACTTCTCTCATCGTCGGCCTCTCGACGCTGTTTTCTTGGATGCAAAGCATTGCAATGAAGAACATGTGCATTGCTTCATCTTTGGGCAGAGATACTGTAAGCCTATGATCAACAATATTTGTAACGTCCTCTTTGCGACAATTCGTTGCTTTCTTCGACCACTGCACAATGTCCACGCCTTCACCGAACTCGCCCACCGGCCGACGCCCTGTCAGAAGCTCTAACAGGACAACCCCAAAGCTATATACATCGCTCTTCTCGTCCACCCTCAGTGTGTATGCATACTCTGCAACACATGCATGCATATATAAACAGCATGAGTAACAAAACTTCGAAAGATAAATAAACCCACAAAAAAGGGCCCAGGGCCCAAATTTGAAACAAAGCAAAAAGTAGTTTAAAGACAGAAAAATAAAAAAGTGAATGGATTGATGCAAGTTGCAAGAGGGAGAACCGAAAGGAAAGCAAAGCAGTCGGGGCTTTCAACAGGTAGCGGTGCCCTATATATATAATAAACATGTATGTATATGTGTGTACGTATATAATTTAAATGGACGTGCATGTCCGGTTAGCTTTCACGACAGTCAAGAGCTGTTGGGTTAGACATCACTGCCGGACTTCTGTCCTATGTTGTGTATTGTGTGTCATTGTCAGATTGACCTCACAGGGTACAGATTCTGATATCAGATCGAGAGAGAGGATGATAAGTTTTACATTAACCGGTTGTGTGTTGTGTTACCAAGAAAATTCCATGCATAATGATCTTATTTGTTTCTTCCCTCTCTCTCTCCCTGTCTCTGTCGACAGTGGACACATATCGCGGTGGTTTATAGACTTGTCAAACACATGGTTTTTTCTAGGGTTTCGTGTGTACTGGGACTGCATGTATAGAGATTTTTTTATGGGAGGGACTTCGAGAGATTGTGCATGTGCAGGCCTTGTGATGCTATAGGAATCACATTTACTAATTAAAGGTATTAGGAATCCCAATCACACAACTCAAAAATCAATAAACAAAAGGAAAATAAGGAATAAGAAAATAATTTACATTTTTTTTTGTTTTATTTAATCTTGTTTAATTATGTATATTATTTTCGTTTGATTTATTTAATTAATAATTTTTTAAAAATTATATGTGCTTGGCTAAAAAATATGTGTGAAAATCAACTCCATAAGAAATATAGTAAATTAACTTAGGTTTTCTTCTTCATCAGTTTTTTATTTTATTTTATTTTTTTATGTTAGAAGATGTCTCGAGATGCAATTCCCCTCCCTTTTTAATTAAGTATTTAAAGAAAAAATTTCTAACACCTAAATGGACCCAAAATTTCGAGAAAAAAAAAAGGACCCAAACTAACACCTTAAGTTCTCAACCAAGAAAACAAACTAATGCCTTACATGATTACACTGGTATGTATAATGTATATTCTTTATGGTCATGATGAAGTCCAAATAATAAAGGAAAAGTAAAGATTTTTGCATAAGAAATCATGTCCAATTAAAAAAATGTAAAATATTAACAAAAATGATTTTATAAAATCCAACAAACTGTACTTTTGGACCGATACATAAGCATTGAAAACTGACGGCTATGCTTGTCTAATGATGTGGCCCACAATTTTGACAAGAGCAAAAATTCACATATTAACTAACTTAACTACCAATGTAGTACCAACTTTGGTCAATGCATCGATACATTAGACAGCTGAATTTGGATAGCTGGATTTTGACAATCTTTCGTTATACACAAACTACACAAACCTTGGAATAAAATCATACTAAAGTAAAAGTGATAGAGAAGAAGAAACAATTAACATACCTGGTGCAATGTAGCCATAAGAGCCTGCAATTGCAGACATGCATTGAGACGTACCCCCATCCATCAAGAACTTGGCAAGCCCGAAATCCGCAACGTGCGCTTCAAAGCTTGAATTGAGCAAAATGTTGTTCGATTTGACGTCCCGGTGAAGAATCAATGGAGAACAATCATGGTGAAGGTAACACAAGCCTTTGGCAGCTTCAATTGCAATTTTGTACCTCAGATTCCACCCCAAGAAACCTCCCTTCTTCCCATGCAGTGCCTCTCCCAAGCTTCCGTTTCTCATGTACTCGTAAACAAGCAGATTGGTCTCCTTGTTCGAACAAAATGCCAGCAGCCTCACAATGTTTCTATGCCGAATGTTGCCTAACGTTTGGATTTCGGCTTTGAAGCCATGATCGTGGCTATTCGGTCCAAAACCAAGTAGCTTTTTCACAGCAATTTCAACCCCATTCGGCATTTTTCCATGGTAAACAATCCCTGCTCCCCCTCTTCCAATCACATTCCCGTCCATCACGCATTCGAGGATGTCAGCAATTGTGAATTCCAGCTTCTGGAATGCAGTTATTTTCCATGAATCTGTACCGTTTCTTTTGAATGATTTGGCCTTGATGATAGCAGCCGCAGCAAACACCAGTGAGCATATTAGCAGGCCTAATGCAAAGATTAGCTTGAAATCCCCGTGGGTTTTTCGGGGTGTGCTTGTGATTGTGGTGATGTTGCAAGGGTTATTTAAGAAAGAGCCGCAAAGGTGGGGATTTCCGGCGAAAGCAGAAGCATTAAAGAAAGCAAACTGCCCTGATTCGGGTAGTTTTCCAGAGAAATCATTGAAGGAAAAATCAGCAATTGTGAGGCTCTTCATGGTTCCTATTGACTTGGGAATGTTTTGGTTCAAGTGGTTTCTCGATATGTTCAAGTAATTCAGGATGTGAACGTTGGAAATTTCGGGTGGGATGGAGCCGGACAGGTTGTTCTGGCTCATGTCAAGGTAAGTGAGATGGAAACAGTTTCCGATTTCCGGTGGGATTTCGCCAGAAAGCAAATTTCTGCGAAGATCAAGCTTTAGTACTTGATGGAGTTGGCCTATTGAAGGTGGGATTGGACCGGAGAATTGATTTCTGCTAAGTAGGAGGATTTGGAGGGAAGAGAAATTTGAAAGCGAAAATGGTAGAGGACCGGATAGGAGATTGTCCGACAGATTAAGCTGGCCTAATTTCGCTGGCTGCGACGAGCTATTAGCATTCTCCGACAACATGCCAGACAGGTAATTGTTTTGCAACTCTGCTAAATTCAGCAGAGGCAAATAAATTAAGCC